TATCATGACATCAACTCTCATACTGTTTCTGCCTCTTAAGTCTATTTTACTTGAAATTAAAAGATGACAGTCAATTTTCTTTTTTAATTGACACACAATAGTTGTACATATTTTGGTGGTACATGTGATATTTCAATAGCTATATATAATGTGTACTGATCAAATCAGGGTAACTGAAACATATATCCAATCACCGCAAACATTTGTCTTTTCTTTGCATTGGGACACTTTCTTTTGTTATTATTGGCATGAGTTTCTTTTTCTAAACATTTACTTTTAAAACTTCTATGTCATTATCTCTTAGATGCATTTTTTATAGACAGACTTAGACTTTAGTTTTGAAATCCAGTTTGACAATCTATTTAAAATGTAAAATTTTATTCTTTTGTATTTATTGTAATTACAAGTAATTTTTGATTTATTCTTATTTTGTGCTTAGATTTGGTCTACCAGTTCTTTCTATGTTTTTCCTCCTTCCTACCTCTCTTATATTAATGAACTAATTTTTCCTCATTCAATTTTTTTCTCTACAAATTTATGTTATACACTATTATATTAAAATAAATAATGTTTTTGTTATTTGAAAATTACTCTTTATTCTATCATTCATATATTATAGAAGAAAGAATTAGAATAGTCCATAAGGAATACTTATTTACATTAATGATAGAAAGCTTCTAGAAATGGGAAGTTGAAGCAGGAGAATCGCTTGAATCTGAGAGGTGTTGGTTGCAGTGAGCTGGGATCATGCCACTGCACTCCAGCCTGGCAACAGAGTGAGACTCTATCTAAAAAAAAAAAAGAAAGAAAAAGAAAAAAAAAGAAAAGAAAAGAAAAGAAAGCTTCTAGAAATAAACTCATTCTAGGGGAAAGAAGAGTAGTTTATAGAAAAAAATATAAGATTATTAGAATAATTTGGAAGAAATTGGATGGAAGGCATAAGAAATAAATAGATAAAGCATCTTAGCATTCCAGAAGAATTCATTTAGAAACCTTTGTGAACATGCAAATTGACAAATAATTTTAGAGCATAAAATTTGTTTTCACTAAATATAATTAAATATAACTCCAATTAGAATGTAAGCTCCCTGAAGGTAGGAACTTTTAACTCTTTTGTTCAGTGCTATATTCTTACTTACTAGAACAACAATCAGGATATAAAATATGAACATGCATTGATCAATAAGCCACTTTAAGAAAACTTTAATAATAATAAATAAAGAATTGTGTTGGATAGTTTTCATTAGTCCCTCCAGATCCACTCTTTAAAAACTCCACTTTACTCTGTACCCCAGGAAATGGACCTTTATTGAGTTTATCAAGAGGTTTCCTTACTACTTGGCTTTAACTAAGGCTCAGCCAATGGCAGGCCTCAACAGGAGATGAGATGGTAGGAAGTGTGTAAGAATTGGCATTTCCCTGGCTCTGTCTCTGCCAAGCTGCCGTGCATTGGTTACACCACTCCTCTGAAGGCCACAGCCTTGTAGAATAGCTGCTGCTCTCTGCAGTCAGTCAATTCTTCCCACATTTTAACACGTTAGACCCAGAAGTGGTAACAGCTTCCTGCTATTGCTTACATTGGGGTTCTGAACCTCTGCTTATTTGTTTACTTTAAACTTGTATTCACCTTTGCAAATAATCCCTTTATTCATCTTCACTCGATTCACATATTTAAGTATACCATCTTCTTCCAACTTAGATTCTGACTTTGACAAAGGCTAAACTCATTTATAAGAAGAATAAAATAAATGTGATTTGAGTATCAACAGAAACAGTTTCATTAGTTTTTTGGCCTGGTCTTGATTCCCTAAAGGTGTTACGGTAGACTCATGCTAAAAAGAAATTGATTGATGCTGAATCTGATATGCCAGAATTTAAATTACTCAAAGTTTATGTTTTCTAGCTAAGATCCATTTAGTTCTTAGATCTGAGCACATTCTCTTCATTTCCATCACCAATGTCTTTTAGAGCCATTTTTCAAAGACAGACAAACCCCCCCAATTTTTTTTTGTTCTTGTTTTCTTAGTTTTCAAGAACTACTGCCAGCATTGTGATAAAAAGAAACAACAGAACAGAGTTAAGCTGTGAGCAGCTAAGCATCCCTTCCCACACCAGCCTCTCCAGATCTATGACTAAAGTTGATACTACAGCAATATTACAGATTATCACCTCACAGACATTCAGGGTTCTCACAAACAGGTTAAACCATGAATATTACACTTATATTCTTGTATACTACTCTGTGAATATATTTTAAATCTTCATGCTAGTGTGGTCTATAAAATAATATCATAGGATGAATTAGATGAGCACTACATCCTCTCATAATAACACATTTTTGAGGTGGGCACTACTTTTATCCTTGCTTTAAGAGAAGAAATCTGTGAAATATGCAAGTTAAGTAAATGATTCAAGTTTTTAGAGTTAATAAGTACTAGAGCTGGGAGTCCAATAAGTAGCCTGGTGGCTGCCAAGTTCATGTTCTTAACTGCAAACTTTCAAGTGATCAAATGGTGGTATAAAGCAAGAGTTATTAGTTGCAAGAGATAGACAGTGAGATGAGGTTCTGTCTTGTCACCGGCAATTATTAAATAATTGTGTGTCCTATTCAGACCCTATTCCCACATACATAAAATGGAGATAGTAAAAATGCCAACTCATGAGGTGTTGTCAGCAATAAACTAAATTAAATAAGACAATGAACATTAATAACTTGACTTGGTACATTTTATGTAATATCATTTCTTTTAATTTCTGGAAATAACTGTAAAATGCAATTGTTTTAGTTATAGAGTTGATTTATCTCAATTACTGGCAAAATAAATCATCTATTGCTTTCAGTTTATAATAATCAGATTCATAAGCTACACATATATGTCTTACTCTTTTCAAATTTTATATCAAGAAAATGTATATTCATATCAATTTTAAACAAGACCAAATGAATAACCATCTCTCCCAGGCTCCCCATGGGTAGAAAAAGCAAGTGTTCTCTAGATTTGCTTTGTGCACAATTTGAATCTCATGCTGAAGAATTTCAGTGTGTTGGATGATATTAGCATAATAACTTTCCCAAAGACATACGTTCTCAGAGGACAACATGCTAGAGCAACCCATGACTCTACAGGAAATCGAACATCTTCCTTGCAATGTATTATTTCCATCCAGTTTTACCTGCTGATAATATCTAGAGTGAAGTCCAAAAGCCTACCAAAGTGGAGTGATGAGAAATACTATTAATTCACATGGATAAATGCTGAGGAAATCCACAAAGCCAACAAATTTAATGTTCTGCTTTATAAAGGGGAAGAAACAAAGGGCCTAGTCATTGTGTTGGCACCTCCAGCACACTGCAGCCCCCATACAGATAAGAGTCCGGGCTCTCTTCCCTGTGAGCCCCCAACCCCCATTCTTCACCAGGCAGGCCCCCTGCTCAGGACCACAGATCAGCCACCCAACCCACAAATGAGCACAACCACTGGCAGTGGCTCTGAGTTTCCCTGGGGAGAGGCTCCAAGAGGCAACTGACAGCCCTTCTGTCACTGCCACAGCAGTGCTTCTGCCCTTGGTCTGAGGAAAAAAATCAAAGAGCTTCACATGAACTTATAACATAACACAGCCACCATATGGAGAGGAACCCAATCTCTCTTCCCTGTGAGCTCTCAACCCCTGGCTCCCCAACAAGCAGAGCCCCCAGCTCAGGCCAGCAATGCAACTTCTCCACTCCCTAGCTGAACATATGCACTAGTTACAGCTTGATGTATCTCAGAGGTGGAACTCCCAGAAGCAACGAAAACCCCTCTGCCACTGCCATTGCAGTGATGCTGCCCTTGCTGCCCTAGGACTGAGGAAGCAGCAAAGACCCTGAGTACTTTATCCACACCTCCAACAATGTGCAGTTGCCCTAAGTAGAGGAGGTCAGTCTGTCTCCCTCATGTCCCACCTGCCCCACTCATCACCAGGCAGGGGCTCCCCTGGCTTGAGCCCACAACACAGCCACCCCAGCCTGGGCCAATTACGCTAATTGATTATGGTTCTGCATGTCTCTGAGGTGGAAAACTGAAAGGCCTTCTGCCACAACCACTGCTGAGGTTCTTTTTCCTGCTGTTTCCAAATATGAGAAACGTATTCAGGTACAATCTATAATTAAACCTTTGAAATAATATAAAGGAAACATCAGTACCATGATATCCTTCTGTAGGATGACTTTACTAATATTTAATCTAAAAGGCAGTTTTCTTACTATGGAGTTAGGGTGCAAATGGCTGTGTTGGTTTTTTGGTCATCTAAATGGCATCTGATTCTCCAAATCAAAATTAGAAGCAATTTAAAAATAAGTAATTTACAAATGTTTTTGCATATTCATTAATTATCAAGTTACTGATCCTGTGAAAGAGAATGCAGTGAGCCAAACAACAGAAAAGCAATTTGACTCTTTACAATGACTTTTAACATAACATAAAAATAAACTATTAACATTTCTAAAGAATTAGCAAAAGTTACTTAGAAGACTGAGTATCCTAAGAGAATATAATGCTTAAGTTTTATCTTCATTATCGTCACTTAATTTTTTTTTAAATTTAAAATACTAATTCTGTCTCAAGGAAAGAATTAGACATGAACTCATTCTGTTTTTAAAGTATGATGACCTGGTCAGGAGCAGTGCCTCATGCCTGTCCTCACAGCACTTTGGGAGGCCAAGGCAGGCAGATTCCTTGAGGTCAGGAGTTTGAGACTAGCCTGACCAACACAGTAAAACACCATCTCTACAAAAAAATACAAAAAGTTAGCCAAGCATGGTGGTGTACGCCTGTAATGCCAACTACTTGAGAGGATGAGATACGAGAATCCCTTGAGCCTGGGAGGTGGAGGTTGCAGTGAGCCATGACTGTACCACTGCACTCCAGCCTGGGCAACAGGGCAAGACGTCATCTCAAAAAAAAACAAAAAAAGGTATGATGAGACCCAAGAACATTGGTAAACTACCCAAGCATAGTTTTCAAGTCATAACAGACTCACCTATTTTGTCTTGTAACTTCTCGTCTCATGCTTTTAGGAGGAATTGGACAATCTGTCATCTCAACCTTTGGTGACTGACGCAATGAGTCATTACACTTATGTATGGGAGTCATACCTGTGAAGATGGAAAATGTAGAAAGTTGCTTTACAAGAAAAACAATGGAATTATTTGAGGAGAGAAATGCAAACATGAATATGTCATAATTAATAGAAAAAGAATTAAGAAAGAATACTGAGAATGCCTCTTTTTACTTCTGGTAAAAGACTAATTTATAACCATTTATCAGATAGGACTTAGAGGTTAAGAGTTTCTGTTGATTTAAGTTCTGAATCGTTTGCATTCTTTTTTCTTGTAGTTGGATTCTGTCTCATCATTAATATTTATCTTCATATAAAGAAAGCAGAAGTTAACAAAGAGTAAAGACTTACCTAGTTTTTCCTCTATTAATTTGAGATTTTTCTCATGTTCATCAAGTTCCTGCTTTTTCTTCTTCATATCTGGAGTGTGAAGGTACTCTAACTGACTGTTAAAATCCTTATTCACACTGTCTAGTTTGCACACAGCAGAACGATACTGCTGAAGAAGCTCTGTAAAGAAACCAAAGACATTTGATTAAATTACTGCTGTCACACCAAACCCATCTTTTAGGGGAAAAAATTAGTAACTGGGACTTGTGTTATGGTATCATATGGGAACTACTTTTAAAGCCATAAAACATTCAATAGAAACAAATGAAATTTAAAAAGCATAGTTAAGATTCCAGCACAAAATGGTTAAATTTAATTTTCTCTGTTTAAGTTTATTTCTGTGTCAGGGAAGAATTCTCTATATAAAAGTGCTCTGTTTCGTTGGCTTACTCTCTCAAGCCAATGTTTATATCTTGTCCGATATTCAATATTCAGTCTAATTCCATGTGGACAAATTTGGCAGGGGGAAGGCAAATACATCAAATATTGTATTGTTAGAAAATCACTGCTTCCCAAATGAAAACTGATGAGTAACAAGGGGTTTCTAATAAAAACATTTCTAAATGTAACTGACAGTGAGCATGCTGTGGTTCAAACTTGGCTGCAATGCAACTCATTAATTGTTCTTATTCTTTGTATGGTAGAAAGAGAAAATCATTGCTTCCAAAAGGCATGGCTATTATGTTTAAACACAGGATTTTTCAAAAACACACTCAGAAAAACACTTCGCTTTCAAAAAACTTAACTTTCCTTAATTACTTTGTTTAAAAATATATTACATTGTTTAAATTAATGACCTGGGAAAAGTATAGAATAGTATACAGAAAAGGACTATAAAACAACATTGTTAGAATAATCCAACTTATTTTAAACTATATATACTCATATGTATAGACAAAAGGCTAAAAGATGATACAGCAAATTATTAACGATGTTTAATCTCTGGGTTTGGGAATAATGAGTTTTTTTTTTAATTCATGGTGCTTGCCTGTATGTTCCAGTTTTTCCCAGAATAATCCTGTGTTCTTTTTGCCATAAAAATAAATTTTGAAAATCCAAAAATAGTATTGCATTATTCAGGTTTGAGATTATTGCCTGCCTGCATGATTTATTAGACACTAAGTATTAAATAGTGACTATACTCCAGGCTAGGGGTTAGTAAACTACCACTCATGGGCCAAGGATGGTTTATTCAGTTTTCTGTTTTTGTTTTTTGAGACAGAATCTCACTCTGTCTCCCAGGATGGAGTGCACTGACACAATCACTGCTCACTGCAGCCTCAACTTCCCGTGCTTAGGTGATTCTGCCACCTTAGCTTCATGAGTAGCCTGGACTGCAGGCACAAGCCACCTTGCCTAACTAATTTTTGTAGAGATGGGGTTTCACTATGCTGTTCAATCTTTGGGAGGCCAAAGGAGGTGGACTGCTTGAGCCCAGGCTGGTCTCAAACTCCTGGGCTCAAGCAATCTGACCACCTTCGGTTCCCAAAGTGCTGGGATTACAGGAGTGAGCCAGTGTGCCTGGCCTATCCAGTTTAAAATGGTTACATTTTAAATCACCTAAGCACGGGAAGTTGAGGCTGCAGTGAGCAGTGATTGTGTCAGTGCACTCCATTTTGGGCGACAGAGTGAGATTCTGTCTCAAATGGTTACATTTTAAACAGCTATATAAATATCTTCATAATATCCTTGATTTTGCCAGTTGGCTTGCAAAACCTAAAACATTTAGCCTCTGGATAAGGCTCTAGTCACATGCCAAGATGATCACTATCTAGGGGAATGGACATATGAACACTCAAACACTTAACAAACATACATAAATAGTTTATATATAAAACTGCGGAAGAAATTAATTCTATACTTTAAAGGTCAAGAGTAGCGCTTTTTTTTTTTTAAATCCACCCAATTTTCTAGAAATCTACACTTACTGAGTGACAAAATTACACATACACATCTGTGTGTGCTTGTGAATTTATTCATATTTAAATACAAATTCTATATGTGAAACCAAGTGACAACAAGACCCTTATGTTCCTTATGCTATATAATTTATTGGGAACTTTATTCTGGTCTGACAGCACTTCTAGTTCCACATTAAAGCAATGTAATTATTATTACATACAAAATGATGTTTATTTTGTATTTAATGAGTTGCAATATTACATACAATATAATGTTTATTTTGTATGTACATGAGTTATAATATTAAGAAAGACAGGTTATTTCAACATGTTCCAGAGAATGACTATGCGAAGCTACTAGAAACAACACAAAAGGATTGAAAGTAGATCTGAAAGGCTGTTATTAGGTAAGTGTGTAAGGGCTGCCCAAACAAGGGTTAACAGAAGGCTGAAGCAACTTTCTGACCACTGAAGGATTTATGCAGTTTAGAGGCATAAGTAGACTTTCCTAAATAATATTTAGTGCTCTTCAAACTTTGTGCTCCACATAATTCTAAGAAACCTACTGGCAAAAAAACAAAAAACAAAACTGATAAACACTTATGACTGGGAAAAACTATGAGAAAAAATCCACTAGAACCTCTTGCTTCAAATAACCCACCCAGGAAGAAGATAGAGGCAAGCTGTGACAGGGTGGGTAGAAATGAAACAAGACTGATAATGTTTTAATAAAAAGCTCCTTCCTAGGTTCCCCCTTTCTATTTTACTTAGTCTGGAAAGTCTCCATGCAGTAAGCTGGGGCAACCACAGGGCTACTTCAGTTGATTCCTATTTCTCAGGAATCTCCATTCTTCATTGGTTAATATCCAAAGTCCTGAAAACTATTCTTTCACATATTTTGCTCAGTGCTTTATTTTTGTTTGTGTTTTTGAGACAGAGCCTCACTCTGCCACCCAGGCTGGAATGCAATGGCACAATCACCACTCACAGCAACCTCAGCCTCCCAAAGAAGTGGGACTACAGGAGCAAGCCACCAGGCCCAACTATTTTATTTGTTTGTAGAGATGAGGTCTCACTATATTGCCCAGGCTTGTCTCAAGTGATCCACCCACCTTGGCCTCCCAAAGTGCTGGGATTACAGGTGTGAGCCACTGTGCTCTGGACTTCAGTGCTTTTTTTTCCTTTCGTTTGTTTTCATGTAAGTTATTCCATCTTAGTGAGAAGCAGAAGTCTCTGTTCTTAGGTATTCATGCATGTTTATTTTTGTTTGTATTTAGGATCAACATGTTTAGCTGCAGAAACATCTTTTAAAACTTATTTTTGTTGTTCTTGTATATGACCTTTTTCTTTCCCATTATATCTTCTAACTACTTACTGTAAGATTATATGAAGGCTATTTTGTATGCTAATTATATAACTTTCTCCCTTAATAAGTTATTTTAATTTTTATCCTTGAATACCTTGGGTTTTATAGGTATACTGTTATACAATCTACAAATAGTTGCAATTTTACTTCCTTTCCAATTCTCATTACTTTTTCATTTTCAAAATTGATATATGACAGATGTACACATTTTCAGGGCACATGTGATATTCTGATACATTTATATAAAGTGTCAAGATAAATAAGGATAATTGGGATACCCCTCATCTTAATATTTATTCTGCATGCTAGGGACATTTGAATTATTTTCTTCTACCATACTGTGCTATTTTGTCTTTTGAGATGGAATCTTACTATATCACCCAGGCTGAAGTGCAGTGGCACAATCTTGGCTTACTGCAACCTCTTCCTCCTAGGTTCAAGTGATTCTCCTGTCTCAGCCTCTCAAGTAACTGGGAACTCCTGACCTCAGGTGATCTACCCACCTTGGCCTCCCAGAGTGCGGGAATTATAGGCATGAACCACCATACCTGGCCTGTACTGTGTTTTGTCCTAAACATATCAGCCTATGATAAAGTTTAATTTATAAATTAGGTACAGTAGAGATTAACCACAATAATAAAAATATACTGTAATAACGCTATATGAACATGGTCTTTCCCTCTCAAAGTATCTTGTACTGCACTCACCTATTCTTGGACTGTCGTTGACTTCCAAATTTTGGTAATTAAATTTGTAGAAAGCAAAATTGCAGGGAAGAGGGGACTACTGCAAGTACTTACTGATTATGATAAGATGATTCTCTTCTTTTGAGTTTATTATTAACAACTCCTCTCTTCTGTCTACATCCTGGCTTCTACAGTGTCTTCAGTTATTTTCTTTGCATTTTAAAAATATTTCTATTTCCAAGATCTCTAGAGAAAACTTAAAATAATACAGATGTTCCTCAACTTATGATGAAATTATATCCCAATAAACCTATCACAACTTGAAAATATCGTAAAAGTTGAGTGTGTGGTTCCAACTTATGATATTCTCAACTTATTAAGAGCTTATCCAGACACAGCCCATTGTGAGTTAGGAAGTGTACTGAATATGTATTGGTTTAACACCACTGTAAAGTTAAACCTAAGTTGAAACATCCTAAGTCTGTATAGGAAACAAACAGTGGAGAAAAAAAAAACCAGGGGGTCTACCATCTCACTTTTTTCTTTTCAGTCCACAGGTTTACAGGTTTAATTTCTTACATGTGTAACATTTGTATTTTTAATCACCTTCCACTTAACTTTGATGTAGACATTCTCAAGATTATAAATTCAATTAAAGGATTTAAGATTTCTGTGTTTTACTTGAAAAACAAGGCTGTGGCCAGACATAGTGGCTCACACCTGTAATCCCAAGCACTTTGGGAGGCCAAGGCAGGCAGATTGCTTGAGCCCAGGAGTTTGAGACCAGTCTGGGCAATGGTGAAACCCCATGTCTATCAAAAAAACAAAAAACAAAAAAAACCCCCAAAAATTAGCCAGTGTGGTGGTGCAAGCTTGTAGTTCCAGCTACTCAAAAGGCTAAGGTGGGAGGATCACCTGAGCCTAGGAAGTTGGAAGGCTATGGTGAGCCATGATCGTGCCACTGCATTCTAACCTGGGCAAAAAAGTGAGACCCTGTCTCAAAACAAAAACAAAAAAACAAACAAAAAGAAAAAGAAGCTGTGATATTCATCTAAGTAAAATAATGCCTTATCTATATTTAGGATTGTTTGTTTAGGTACGTTTCCTAGAAGATTAATTATGCATTAAAAGAATATGAATTTGGCTGGGTGTGGTGGCTCACATTGTAATTCCAGGGGAGGCCAACGTGGACAGAAAGCTGAGGTCAGTAATTTGAAACCAGCCCGGCCAACATGGTGAAACTCCATCTTTACAAAAATATAAAAATTAGGTGGGCATGTAGGCGCACACCTGTAATCCCAGCTACTTGGGAGTCTGAAGCACAAGAATCACTTGAACCTGGCAGGTGGAGGTTGCAATTAGCTGAGATTGTGCCACTGCACTCCAGCTGGGGAACAGAACAAGGATTCATCTCAAAAAATAAAAAAATATATAAAATAAAATAAAGAACATGAATACTAAAAGCAATTAGTAAATTTTTCTGATTATGAAAGTGACACAATGTTCACTGAGGCAGGTCTGGAAAAATATATAGAAAGGGATAATGGAGAAAAAAATTACCTCAATTATATAATCCAGAATTAAAGAAAAGCATTTTTCTTTCTACTCTTTCTTCAATGTGGTAATGAATACACACACTGTTCTAAACATGGGAAAGTTAACAAGCCTTTTTGAGCCTCAACTTCTTCATCTATAAAATGAAGATAACCATAGTAAATAAGATCATTCATGTGACAACCTTAACAGGGTGTCTCCTGCATAATATTATATTAAATGTCCAGTAATTTTTTCTTCTTATGCTCTGATTTGCTCTTATCTCATACCAAATACTATCATGCAAGATGATGTATAGGCAAATTATTTAGAAGACAAATACTTTGCTTATAACTATGCTATTAGTAGACAATTTTTATTGTGATGGCCTTCCTCAAAATTGCTTTTGCTCTGAGAATGATTCCATGATATCCATGGGAACGTCCCCAAAGCTGTTTGCTTTATTTGATCTGTACTAAATCCAGCTGAGCTGGAAGGCGCTGGGCATTTCTCTCTCCCAGTAGTGGTGGGAGTTGGGTTATATTAAAACTGCAGGGTGAAGGTATATGGAACACAAGGTTGTTGACTGTCCCAGAGTCATCTCTGACTTTGTCTTGACTGTTTCCATCTCCTTTAAATCTGTGATATCTTCCAGTTTCCTTCCAATAGATTCCTGTTGGGCTTAAAGTAGTCACAGATGGTTGCTTACAACCAAAAGTACTTTATATAATTAGTAACCTTAAATGGTCCTTTGAGTTCTTACCAATGAATCATTAGTCTATATCTAGGAGTGTATCTTTGAAGACATGACGTTTGTGTATTTTTAAGTTCCATAGGTAATTCTTTCTGGTACTGGGAACTACCGCCATAAAATGCTTATGTACAGAGTTGAGGCCTTTTACGTTGGTTCACTGACCTTGATTTAAATGTTTTCTCTCATTTCTTATCAGTTTCTTTAGATACTTACTCATTGCAGAGACTGTGTATGTGTTCACTGACATCATAAACAGAAGTATGACTCTTCTTCCCACCACCTTTCTCAACTACTCTTTTAAAAACTTCAGGCTAAACTGATAGCCCCAAATGGAAATTACCTGCTATGGTTTGTCCGTCTCCACCAAAGCTCATGTTAAAATAATCCACGGTGGTGCTGGGAGGTGAGGCCTAATGCTGAGGTCATGAAGGCAGATCCCTCATGAATAGATTAGTGCCATCCCTTGGGAGTGAGTGAATTCTTACTCTGTTCCTAAAAGCTGGTTGTTAAAAGAGCATGGCACCCGCCCTCCCCTTTTGCTTCCTTTTTTGAGATGTGATGTTCGCACATGCCAGCTCCTCTTCATCTACTGTGACTGGAAGCAGCCTGAGACCCTCACCAGATGCAGATCCCCAATCTTGAACTTTTCAACCAGAAAAACTATATGAACAATTATTTGTTTTTCGTTATAAATTACTCAACTTCAGGTATTCCTTTACAGCAACACAAAACAGACTAAGACACTACTCAAATTCCTCAACAGTAGAGTAAATAAATTGTACATTTCATTCACACAATGAAATACTATCCTGCAAGGAAAACGAACTATATGCATAGTGTTGAATGAACAAAAGCAGACACATAAAAAGGTATGCACTGCAGAATTCCATGTATATAAAGTATGAAAATGGGCTAAATTAATCTGTTACTGTAAGTCAAGAAAGTTTGCTCTTGTCACCCAGGCTGGAGTGCAATGGCACAATCTTGGTTTATTGCAACCTGTGCCTCCCAGGCTCAAGCGATGCTCCTGCCACAGCTTTGTGAGTAGCTGGCACAAGAGCCACCTGCCACCACACCCAGCTAATTTTTGTATTTTTAGTAGAGATGGGGTGTGTGTGTGTGTGTGTGTGTGTGTGTGTGTGTATTTTTTGTTTGTTTGTTTGAGTTGTGGTCTTGCTATGTTGCCCAACCTGGAACGCAGTGGCATGATCATGGCTCGCTGCAGCCTCTGACTTCCGGGCTCAAACAATGATCCCAATTCAGACTCTTGAGTAGCTGGGGCTACAAGTGTAGGCCACCATGCTTGGTTACTTTTTTTTTTTTTTAACTTTGTAGAGTTAGCGGTCTCACTATGTTGCCTAGGCTGGTCTTGAACTCTTGGCTTCAAGCGATACTCCTACCTTGGCCTCTCAAAGTGCTGGGATTACAGGCATGAACCATCATGCTCAGCCTAATATGATCTTAAATAAATACACTAAAATGTATAGATTTTTTTATTCTCTTGTTAACAGACAATATAAGGGAAGAGAGTTATGGTAGAAGGACAGACAATTTGACTCCCCTTTTATAATAATTCTGGAAATATTACTTTCACAGTTTCTCAATTCTCCCTCAACCTCATGATTCTACCTAAGGACAAAGAAAGTCATGATAGTGTTTGGAAATTCTGGAATGAACAACAATATTACAACTCTGACACTCAACAATGTGACTGAGGAATGTCATTAAGAGCCTTTTCTCAGAAGAGCTTTAAAATAGTATTTAATTGGCAAAGTTATATAAGACTTCATTTAGAAATCTGCAAGCAAGGAAATCAGTTTGTGCTGTTATCGATTATGAAGAACAAATACTATTCTACCCTCCCCGTCTCGTCAACTTCGTCTTAACATTCCGTTTTTTCTTTCTCTCTGAGTTACAGTCTGAATATTTTTTTCTGACCCTTCTTTTAATTCACAAATTCTTTCTTAAGATGTTAAACCTGCTCAGTATTTAATTTCTATTATAGCTTGTGATTTTTAGAAGTGTTACTTAATTTTTTTCAAGTTGACTCGTTCTTTTTTCATTTTCAACACTTTCATTTTTTGAACTATATTATTAATCAAATATTAATTAACACTTTTAAAATATTTGCTCTCATTTTCAATGTGGAAATTATTTCCATTCTAAAATAATGGTGAAATTCCTCCAGAAAATATTTGTGTTTGCTTCAGTCAGGTATCTAAAAACACTACTAGTCTGGCACATGAAATCCTCAAGTTCTGCACTTGAGGGTTTTCAGAACATCCAAGTAGTATGGATGCCTGTTGGAAACAGATATTAGAGCCAATCTGTTTACACTAATGAATTCTCTAGAAAAATGTTCAACTTTTTAACTTTTCTACTTAGTGCCAAGGTTCAAGAAAGAGAATTTTCTGGTAGTTCCCTGAAGCAGCTGGAGTTGAGATGAAGGTGACAGATGTACGTGTTTGTTTACCCTTATGCTAAGGTTCCCCCCATGGAGGGGGTATACCCAGTTATCAGATTCCCCATGTTGTTTAGAGCCCTGGGTTTTGTCTCCTACCCTCGAGCCCCTTGAGGGAGTGAAAAATCAATGCTTAAGTTCAATTAGTTTGGCAAATGTTCTCACTGCAAAACCCCAGCATTAGTGTTCTGTTTATCTCTCTGGTTCCCATATCCACTTAGAATCCTCACTTTCTTAGCAGTTCATTAAGATATATATCTGAAATAGCATTTTAGCTAATCTCACCTGGAGTTTCCAATGGCTTTTTAGTGTGCCTAGTTCATCACTATATAACCCTTAGTGCACTGTGCCTAGTGATGTGCTGTAGACAGTTTGTCCTGGGTCACAGAAGTCAAGTCTCCTGAACACCACATTCATATAGGCATGAAGGTCTTCATATAGACTGCTGGAAATGATCCATGATACAAGCACTTACACCACAGAAACTGGCAAATGCTACAATCAGGGACTTCACATGCCTCCTCAGAGAGCTAGTTCAACACGTAACGGCACACCCCTGTGTCTCATACATAGTAAGTATCCAAATATCTGGTTGAACTAGAGTCTTCCAGTTATCAACCTATTCGTTAGTTCTATCCTCGCTAGTAAACTTCTCACCTTCTCCAAACTAATTCCATGCTATTGTAACATTTAATGAGTATGTTTCTATTTCATAATTCAGGATATATAAGAATGCTAATCACAACCAGAATATAGTAGCTCTCCCACACAGCCAGTTTCTGGTACAGTATATTATACTTATTATTAGGTTTAAAAGGAAACATTCATGAAGATGCCAAATACCATTTTCCAATCAGCTATATAATGCTCAATAATCCCAGTAATTTAGGTTTTCTAAACTAAGATGCATTTATTATTGCTTTATTCCCCCACAACCACGAGATGGGAGTCTCGCTCTGTTGCCTAGGCTGGAGTGCAGTGGCATGATCTCTGCTCACTGTAACCTCCACCTCCTGAGCTCAGGTGATTCTCCTGCCTCGGCCTCCCAAGTGCCTGGGATTACAGGTGCCTCCCACCATGCCTGGCTAATTTTTGTATTTTTAGTAAGATGAGGTTTCACCATGTTGGCCAGGCTGGTCTCAAACTCCTGACCTCAAACTGTTGGCATTACAAGTGTGAGCCACTGTACTCACCCCTATTATTGTTTCTTAACTAGGCCCAAAGAAAAATTACTCAGACCAGTTAGGCTAGCTCTGCCATGTGACTTGGGACAAATACCCTTCCTCCCTTTTAAAAACTTTTATTTTTTTAGAGACAAGGTCTCATTATATGCCTAGGCTGGAGTGCAATGGCTACTCAGAGGCATGATCAGAGCACACGACAGCCTACAGCCTTGAACTCTTGGGTTCAAGAAAACCTCCCTCAGCTTCCCAAGTAGCTGGAACTACAGGCATGCATCACATGTCCGGCTCTCCATTATTTGTTATCAGCTTACGGTTTCTCTCTATTCTCCCTGGTTGTAGATCATCCTAGATGAACCCTATGGTCCCTGTAATTCTAGAATACACTATTTACACATACTGGCTTAGATCGAATCCAGGGTACTGTCTGTAAAATGTGGCCTTAGAGTCAAAATCAAGTTAAGGATGTTCCTTTGTTAAGACTTCTGAAAGATTTAAACTACTGCCCTCCTGGATCCTCTTAGCTAGACAAAAGAGGTTTTAAAACCCTAAATGGCATTAGCCTACGCTACCTCACCCTTATGGGTGAGAATAATAACCCTAGCAGACATCCCCGACAGAACCTCTGGCCAATACCAGCTGATTTGCCACATGACAACAGGTACCTATTGCCAGCTATATAAGGCATGCATTTTAGTCCTGCCATATGTCATTGTTGTTGAACCTTACTATTTAGAGTGTTATATACCAGCAGTAAATAACTGAAATATTTGTATTGCCAAACTCCCCTCCAAAGGTGCTGTGGGCTAAACTGTGCTCCCTCAAAATCTTTCATTTTATTTTATTTTATTATAAGACCAGTAAAATAGACTAGTGAGAAGGAGAGGAATGTATAAAACAAAGAGTTAGATCCGTAATTGACTGTGAATAATCAATTGAGATAACTCATTACCTTTGGACCAGCCCCCTGACAAATCCATGTTAAAGTCCTAACCCCTAGTCCCTCAGAATGTGACATTATTTAGAGATAGGGTCTTTACTGAGGTAATCAAGTTATTATGAGGTCATTGCAGTGGGCCCTAATCCAATATTAAATTGGTTATGAAAAGGCTACTTAGACATTGGTATATGTATCATCAAATGACATGATACACATTAAAATTGAGGCCTACAAATTTAAAAAGAAATCAAATACATACCTCTTTTCTATAATGATTGGCTGCATCCAGATTATCCAAAATAATGGTGTCTCCTAACAGCATACCAAATACTAAAAAAGTCAACAAATGAATTTTGAAAATTATGGTATTTTCCTTGGTCATATTAAAATATAATGCATATTGCAAATCTTTCTTTGAAAGAATGCTACTATTGTTATAATTTTATTAGACTGTCCTCTGAAAAATACTGATAAATCTCTGACTTATAAGCAAAATAAGAAGATAAATTTTCATTATCAGTAATTTATAGATTTTTATCACAAATTTAACATCTGTACAAAAGTAAAGCCACCATAATGTCTTTTACCTGTTTCACAATGTTCTATATTATCTGGAAATGTTAACAAGTCTCGAGCAAAGACTGGATCTCCAATGGGTTTAAAATACAATTTTCCATTTCAGAAATGAGGTAGAGATCTAAATAAAAAGAAATTTAAAACAAGTATTAAAACACATGACTTTTTAATTTTAAAAAAGACAATATGGAAAACATAAATATACTGCACATCATTTTGATCATATAATCGATTCCCAATCCACCACAAGTGACACTTCTAAATGATCAGCTATTATGCCCTTAGAGATGAAAACAGTATTTACCACATAAAAAATTACTTGGTGTTATCTGTACTACTACCCTCTATTAGTTTGTATTAATGATATAGTAATGGTTTTATTTGACGAGGAAAGAAAAAAAGGTAGCCTCTAAAACTGGCTCCAAATGAGAGCACCAATGATATAACCGTTCATGTGAAGAGTGGTCATAGAATGAGTAGGGGAAGGGGCAAGGCCTAAGACTGAGACACATATGAGGGAGGCAGCTCTATGTCCCCTGGCTCCCTGTCCTTCCCATACAATAGGAAGAGCAATAGAAGCCAGCAGATGGTAATAATGGAATTTCTGAGACCATAGTTGATTGGAGTGTCAGGGACCTTCCCTTCAACATAAGCAGGGAGGAGCTCTAGTTAACTCAATCCCAGTAAGAGGGAGAATACCAGAAACAGAGAGGATAACTAGTTTCTAGAACAAACATTAGCTCTAAATGTCAAATTCATAGTTTCCCTAAATCAAGGATTTTTAACTTAGTCTCCAAGGACTATAGAGATAAAGAAACCCTCTTGGAGAAAAAATTCTTCTCACAAAAAGTATTAGGGTTTGGGGGTATGTGTCTCTAGTCCTAGTTATTTGGGAGGCTGAGGCAGAAGGATCACTTGAGCCCATGAGTTTCAGGCTAGAGTGAGCTATGACTGTGCCAGTGAGTAGCCACTGCACTCCAGCATAGGCAAGAGTGAAACCCCTTCTCTTAAAAAAAAAGTATACCCTTATTAACACAATAATTATGTATGACCTGTCAGGATTTCCCAGGCTGTTCCTTTAAGCACTGACTAGTTGCAGGGTGGTAACTAGAATCTGATAGATTTGAGTTCAACACCCAGCTGTTTCCTCAATCTAGTTTTAGATTTATAAGAGGAAATAACATGTTTACTGAAACTATAGACTCTTAATGAGATCTCGTTCTCCTTCAAGTCCCCATTCCTATGCAGTTACAGGCCCTAAAAAGCTTTGTTTAGTAATCTAAGGAAATTACTCACCAATACTCTGTTACACATTTTTATTTATTATTTTGTTAGTATTTTCTTCCTGTCTTTAGGTGAATTTTTAAAAGTAGCCCTAATCAAGAGTACACATAAAATACAAAAAAGGGGCTGGGTCAGTGCTCATGCCTGTAATCCCAGCAGTATGGGAGGCTGAGGTGGGAGGACTGCTTGGTCCCAAATGTTTGAGACAAGGCTGATATAGCAAGACCTCACCTCTTAAAAAAAAATAGCTGGGTGTGGTGGCATGCACCTGTAGTCCCAGCTACTCGGGAAGCTGAGGTGGGAGGATCACTTGAGTCCAGGGAGGTTAAGGCTGTAGTGAGTTGTGACCACACCCAGCTTGGCTGACAGAGCAAGATTGCATCTCAAAAAATAAAAGAAAAATTTAAAAATTAAAAAAAAAGGAATTTAGATTAAAAATGTGTAATTGGTTTCCATAGTTAATCCTCTAAAAACATATTTTGAAAAGTAATTGAGAAAACAATTAAAGAAACTAAATTTATATTAAAATAAAGATGTAATATCGAATTAAACAGTCTCTTAAATTTCAACTCTACTATTGGCAGTTCCAATATCTGCTGAATAGCCATTCCAACAAATCCTCTCTATCTAAATGATGGCTTATTTTCATAGAACATAAATAGAATAAAAGATAAGCAACTCTAGCCTTATTTCAAATAAAGGTGTTGCATATTCATTTAACAATAATAATATTCTTCCATCTTTCTTACTGTAAAGGCCAAAGATTTGCTGTGGGTTTTTTGTGCATGTCTTTGTGTGTATACGTTACACATAATGACATTTAATTGGCAAATAAAACATAGCCAGCATAAATAATGAAAAATGCCTATTTGTGATGAAGACAAAAATAATGTAAATAATTAAAGTCAATTCTCTTAGATATCTTTTAGATAAATCATTTTTAAATCAAGGCTTTGATAAAAAAAACAGCACACATATTTCAGAAAAAATCATTACTTTCACTGTTTTCTAACCTTTTCCAATCTGGAAGAGTCTTCTTATAAATAGAATCAAGGGGCAACACCTGCTGATGACCTTGGGTTTCATCATAGATACGACGTGCAGCATCAGTGGTTAGGGTGACTACACAGTCCATGTCACTTTCCAGATGCCAAGAAATAACCATTGCAGCTCTATCATCTTCAATTTGTGCTAGATGTGCAATCTATAACCCATTTTAATAACATCAAGTAAAAAAAATATAAAATACATACATAAAAATTTGATATTACTTTAAAAGCCCAAGCCTAGATAACAAAAACTTTTCTGAAACACATGAATTAAAAATAGTCAAGTTGTTAAAAACTTAACTTGAATATATTAAACCTTCTAGTTTGCTATTAAATTAAAAACTTTTTTTTTCTAAAGACTAAACTCCAGTAAAGTTGCAAAAAAAGAGCAAATAAAAATATTAGGAATGTTTTCTTTTCTCAGAACTCTCAGGGATGAAATAATTAGGAATAATATTAGATAGTAATACATACTTTTCCACATTTTAATACTCTATAAAAATGGAACCTTATTGGTAAAATCATCATAAAGTACATTTAAATAATACACACATAAAATAATGCAGTTCGATTAAATATAAATACAGTTAATATACCCTTCCCTTCTAAGTAAACACTTCGCTCCACTATTATAGCATTCCTTTCAGAAAACAAATCTAAACATCACAAATAAGAATTGTTTCTTCTGCTACTCAAGAGGCTGAGGCAGGAGGATAGCTTGAGCCCAGGAGGCTACAGGGAGCTGAGATTGTGCAATGCACTAAGTACAGTCTGGGTGACAGAGCAAGACCCTGTCAAAAAAAAAAAGAAAAAGAACTGTTTCTGTTTCTAGGAACAATTCTTTGAGGCTTAGAATAAATAAATAATTATAAATCTTTGCTTCAGTCACAAGTATTCTTTTTCTTTCCCTCAGGTCAGACAGGTAATGTGCCAACATCATAAAAAGGTTTAAGGGTGGCATATGTCACATACATGCGTGACCACCCAATCATCAACAAGGATTCTTGTTCAAAGTCAAGTCCACCAAGGTTGGACTATTGTGGCCAGAATCAAAGCCTAATTAATCGTGCTAGTATGGTGGGGTCTACCCTTTAATCTTACTTGATCTGGTAGCACAAACCTGCCCTAGCAATAAGAACACTGTGTGTCACTTTTAGAAACATCAGGCTGGATGTGGTGGCTCACAACTATCATCCTAGCACTTTGGGAGTTGAGGCAGGTGGACTGCTTGAGCCCAGGAGTTTGAGACCAGCTTGGGCAACACCACGAAACCCCATCTCTACTAAAAACACAAAAAACTAGGGGGCATGGTGGCATGAAATGGTTTTCCCAGCTTCTCAGGAGGCTGAGGTGGGAGGATCACCTGAGTTCAGGAAGTTGAGGCTGCAGTGAGCCAAGACTGCACCACTGCACTCCATCCTAGATGACAGGAGTGAGATCCTGTTTCAAAAAAACCCTAAAAACAAAATGCATCCTAACATCTACCCTTACATTCTAATTCTCTAGAATTTAGTGGAAGAAAGCTAAGAAAACGATCATGCAAAAAAACTAGTACATGTAAATGAAAATAATGTTCTAGCCAATGGAGAAAGAATTAATAGAGGCAGATGAAATGTAAGCACAAGAAATGGCTTACTGTGACATTTGGATGTGTTTTGTAAAAAATACAACAATACTGGCATAAAACCTATTTAGAAGAGCATGTTAATAATACCTATATGTTTAACTGAACAAAAAAATCTTAAAACTATTAAATCATCCTCATTTAGAGATGGGATTTCAAGATATTTGGAATTGAGGAAGAAAAGCATAAAATATCTAAGTTACTTGAGGTATTCACAATGTTAAAAATAAATATGTTTTGAGATGTGGGGATGGGGTGGAATCTCCCCTTGTTCCTACGATTATTTATTCTTGGTTTTTTTTTTTTTTTTTTTTTTAGACAGAGTCTCACTTTGTCGCCTGGGCTTGAGTGCAGTGGTGCGATCTCTGCTCACTGCAACCTCTGCCTCCTGAGTTCAAACAATTCTGCCTCAGCCTTCTGAGCAGCTGGGATTACAGGTGGACATCACCACATCTGGCTAGTTTTTGTATTTTTTATTAGAGATGGGGTTTCACCAGGTTGGCCAGGCTGGTCTCACCCAAACTCCTGACCTCAGGTAATGCGCTCGCTTCAGCCTCCCAAAATGTGGGGATTACAGGTTTGAGCCACCGCACTCAACACTATTCTAGTTTTAGAATAAATGCCAGAAAGAGTATTTTTTAAGAAAGCAAGGGAAAAGACTAAGGATGACATGGAGGGATTATAAAGTTCTCCTACTGGTTAGCGTAGGGTTTGAACTTCTGAGGAAACAAAAGAGAAACTATCAAAAATGAGATTTAAAAGATTTCCCCAAGATTTTTAAGACATGCAATGGGAAATATTTAAAAAGACTTTAAAATACAACTCTCTTGCTAAAATATATATGCTGGTAAAAATCTTACATATTGCGCCAGAATTTCATATTGGATGGACATTAAAATGTGGAAACCAGGTATTTACATGCTTAGGATCAAAGAATTGATTTCTAAAAATTGGTTCCAATGAATAACATTTTAAAACATTGTATATTGGCAACTCGTTTCCTAATGCATAAATTTATATTTAATTTAACCTAAATTAAAATTCAATTAATTTTTTAATCTGCAGATTTGAGGTTTGGGTAATAATGTAACACAGTTTTCATCATAAACATTGCTACACGTTACCCCTTATTTCAGGGGGGCAATACTACCATAGACTTTAGAGTCAGAGAGACCTTGAGTCATATCTAAGCTATGCCTTTAACTATATTTTAATAAGTTATTTGAGCTCCCTGGATTTTAATTTCCTTATGCATAAATGAGAAATACTACAAAATAATGGTTTAGACTGTGGTTATAAAAGTAGAATATACATGTATAGGCAATAACCATAGACTCCAGAGTCAGACTACCTGGGGTTTTGGCCCTGGTTCTGCCATCCGCTAGCTGTGCAACTCTGAGCAAATTACTTGCCCTCGGTTTCAGCTGGGCACGGTGGCACATCCTGCAGTCACAGCTACTTGGGGGATGGAGGCAAGAGGATCGCTTGAGCTCAGAGATGGAGGGAGCAGTGAGCCATGGTCTTAACCACTGCACTCCAGCCTGGGTGGCAGTGAGACCGTCTCTCCCTCTAAAAAAGAACTGCATTACACGAAATCATCTCTAAGTAAATAATAAGCCTTGAACTAATAATACATGTTAACAACTTCTGCCACAGCCCTCAATAGTAATATTACAGATTTTGGTTTAAACTCTGCCAAATCCCTACTGCAAAAATGAGAGCATGTACTTTATCGGAAAGAAGTAAATTACAAAGAACCTGACACGTTGTCACTTTTAGAAGACCCATTTTAAACGAACAAGACAATAAAATGTACTGTCTCTCAATATGCTTAACAAACACAAACCTTTCCCAACACATCTCCACTGCCTTTAGTATAGTTTGGAAGAGTACATGATCTTCTCGGTTTTTTTCTTTAGTTCTTCCTGTTCCGATAGCTTTCTTTTCAGAAGTGTTTCAATGTGTGGCACCTATAATTTATTTAAAAAAAAAGGCAGCCCATAGTGACAGTGGAGAAAAATTAACAATTTAGATAACTCAAGAATATAGAGTTGGTAAGCAGACATTATTTAAAAAACAATCAGAAAACACACACACACACACACACACACACACACACAGAGAACAAAAATTTAAAAACCATGGTTATAGTAATATAAAGTTTCCACTTCACTGAGTTTAACAAAATCTTGGCCAAGAAATACACTACCTATAATAGAACTTTGAAACCTAGTTACACATATAAAAATATATAAATTTTAAAAATCTAAATTGCTTTTTGTTATTTTCTCTTATTTACAAACCCATGTATTGACTATGCAGCCTTTTCAATGCAGTACTTGAACTGATGTATTAACTGCATTTATTGGCGTCATTACATTAAAAATACAAATTGCAGTTTCTTTTAATAGAGCACTCTATCATTTTGTTAGTCATTTTTTATGTCTAGTAAGTGACTAAACTATAATGTACACATCTTTGTACCCTAAAACAGTACTCATGGAATTCCTAATAAAACCTGAAAAACTAAGAAAACTGTAGAATAGGCTTTAATAAAAAATCATGTATACTTGGAAACTATACCTGTTGTGTTGTAGGAATGTCAATATTATGTATTTTTAGTTCATTTCGCAATTGGGCCTCTTTTAATCTTGCTTCTTCAACTTGACCTAAAATTAAAAACAAAAAATTTGCATCAATTTCTGAAAGCTGCCAAAACCATAGTTTTTGAAAAATATTTTAAAATTCCTTTTGTTTTTCCCTTTTGATGTCTGATGCTAAAATGAAAATTGATAGGTGACTATTTTAGAAATTCAAAATTAAACTATACATCTTAAGGCTCAATTCTGATATATAAAAATAAGAAAACAGAATTAATCCAACTAAAGGGAAATATGATATACTGCAAGTTCCTAGTAATCTTGGATAAGTGATTTAATCTTAATCCACATGTGTATTCATAATTTACACATAATTGCTCAAGGTTGTTCTCAAAGTAAACTTTACAAAAACAATTTTTAGTGCTACACAGATGATATATTATCTTATTTCTAGATTTAGCTCCTATTATATTCTAAATATCCTTGATCTTGTATAGGCATAGACAAAAGTGAGTACTTTGAGGCACGCAGTAAATATTTGTTGGCTAACTGATCAAAATAACTAATACAAAGCCAAAACCCTTAGTAAAAAAAATCTGAGAAATGACAAGGGAAGAGATGATAGAGCACAATTCAGAAAGTGTCTTGTCTTTCAATTATATACAATATTATAAAGAATTGCACAAATGTAGGCTGGGTATGGTTGCTCACACCTGTAAATCTAGCACTTTGGGAAGCCAAGGTGGGCAGATCACTTGAGAGCAGGAGTTCAAGACCAGCCTGCCCAACATGGTGAAACCCTGTCTTTACTAAAAATACAAAAATTAGCCAGTGTGGTGGCACACACCTGTAATCCTAGTTACGTGGGAGGCTGAGGCACGAGAATCACTTGCTCTCAGGAGGCAGAGATTGCAGTGAGTGAGATCGAGCCACTGCACTCCAGGTTGGGCAACAGAGTGAGACTGTGCCTCCAAAAAAGAAAAAAAATTGCAGCAAATGTTCTGTGAATTGACTCCAGAATAATTTACATATTTCAACATGAGTGTATGACGCCCCAGATACCTTCACAGCATGACAAACTGTGGTTGTTTGAAGTAAAATACATATAGCTCAGGAGCCAAATAAAAAATTTATGTTACACATCACTCCCCTGGTGATAATATTATCCAGTATCTTTTGCCAGAAGCTGGAGATAAATATAAGCAATATTATTATGTTGAAAGCCTTAAATTTTCCACAGGTCCAGATTCCTAACAGAACATGTCAATTTTCTACAAGTAAGTACGATACATATTTATTTAAAATAAGAAATACTTCATCTTAAGAATTATCAACAACAATGTCAACCATCATTATCATTGCTACCTTTCTGCAACATTCTGCATTTTACTTGTGGATTAGGAAAGTGGAAGCACGTTTGTGTATCACAATCGCACCTTCTGCCTCATCATTCCCCAAAGCATAATTTTTGTCTTGAATACAAAATAACTTACATTTCATTTCATTAAGAAGCTGTTGGCCTGCTTCAAATAAACTTTTATACATAATAATAGACTGAGATAATTGGTCCTTTTCTTTTGTAAGTGCTGCCATTTGTTGCTGCTTTTTAACATCTAAGAAAAAAAATTCAGATAATTTAAAAGTGGACTTTTCTAAAATATGTCTTAATGTGATTAGATAGCTAATAAACACTATGTTAATGCAAAGCAAAACAAGGTTACCTAAAGTATCACTAAGAATGGAGTTTAATCATTTATTTCCTAGAAACTTACCATTGTAAAACATGAATGGTAGGATGTATGGTTCTAAGGTTCTTGATAAAAGTGGCAGCTGGGGCTCAAATATGATAAAATATTCAGTACTATCTCTTCCAGGACTACTTTCTGCCAGCACCAGACTCTACATAGAAACAAACAATAGGGGAAAACAAGATTTAAAAATATATTTTTCAACATCTAATGTTTTATATAACTCATTAGGTTCTGTTTTCAAGTAAGTAATTTTAAAGGCAAAAGGCATAGGCTGATCCTTAAGATTCCATTAAACTATCATCACCACCCCCACTACCCATGACATAAAACTTTTTACCTCTTGGTATTGGTTTGAAAGCCAAATAACTGTATCAATAAACTGCTTACATAAAAATTATATATAATAAAAAATTTTAAGAAAAAGTTATTTCCTTCACATTAAAAATATCAAAGGCTGCTTACAGTTTTGACCTGTAAAATTCTTCTTGATTCTAACCTCTAAATTGAAAGCAGCATAAAACAGCTGATAGTGTGAAAGTTATAAAAACAATCACAAAGCCCAATGCAGAGTTTAAGTTACAGCTGTTACCATGGAAATAGACTCATCAGTCCCAGGTGACTGAACAAGAGGTTTTTAAAAGCTCTAAAGATTTTTTAAATTGTATTTTTCTCATTAATGCAAAAAAAAAAACTTTTGCTATATTTTAGGACCATAACATACAACTAGTAAATGACACAAATGTATTTTTATCTAAAATGATTTTTTTTACACAGTTCTAAAGGAAACAACAGATAGTCGCTGTTTTTGTTTAGACTGTAACAATACAATTTACAGAGAAGTAATATTTTTTAAAAATCTAAATCAGTGTGACACTGTAGGGAAATCCATGAAATATTATAGATTACAGCTCACAGATTTTTCCCCCAGAGAATATAGAGTACAGGCCCACCACTAAACCAACTGCCAATCAGTTTCTGAATGTGGTTTTCAATAGACTTACATAAATGCAAACATGTATTTAAAAACCATTTTGCATTTAAAAAAATAAGTAACATAGATTTTCAGCACTTGATTTGATTTGTCGATCAATTCATGTGAATGTATAGATGCCAATTTAACAAATTTATACATAGTACACTATACTAACCATTCACTGGGTGGTGAATATTGAGTATATTTAAAATCTTTAAACAGTTATCTATAATATAGCAAAAATATATCTCCAAATGCTTCTCTGCAAATGTGTTTTCTAGAATTAATAATGAGAAATATGTTTATTTTAATAGGTTGTATCAAATTTCCCTTAAAAGAAGCTGTATCAATTTATCCTCTCACCAGCAGCATATGGGAGTGCCCAATTCCCCTGATGCTGGCCAACATTTAATATCAATCATGTATTTTTTTCTAAAAAGGGGAATTAAAGAGCAACCAGTCATTATTATTTTAACCAATATTTTCCTGAGTGGTACCAAAATCATGCTTCTTATGTTTACAGGTTATTTATACTTTCTTTTCCATTAATTGCCTGCTCATATTCTCTTTGTCCATTTATTTTTCTACTGGTTTGTCTTTTTAAAAAACTGATTTTCAAGTAGTTCCTTAGGAGGTTTTAGAAATCTGTTCAAATATCAGTCCTCTAATTATATGTATCTACACATATAGTCATGCACCACATAAGGAAATTTCAGTTAACAAAGGACCACATGTACAATGGTGGTCCAAAAAGATCTGTAGTCTTACTGTACCTTTTCTATGTTTAGATACAAATATTATTATGTTAAAATCACCTACAGTGTTCAGTACAGTCATATACTGTACAGGTTTTTAGCCTAGGAAAAATAAGTTATGCTACTGGGTGTAATGGGCATTTTGGGAGGCTGAGGTGGGTGTATCACCTGAGGTCAGGAGTTCGAGATTAACCTGGCAAACATGGTGAAACCCCATCTCTACCAAAAATACAAAAAAATTAGTCAGGTGCGGTGGCACATGCCTGTAGTCCCAGCTACTCAGGAGGCTGACGTGCAAGGATTGTTTGAACCCAGGAGGTGGAGGTTGCAGTGAGCCAAGAGTGTACCACTGCACTCTACCTGGGCGATAGAGACCTGTCTTAAACAAACAAAACAAAAAGAAAGAAATAGGTTATGCCATATAGCCCAGGTATACAGTAGGCTATACCACCTAGGTTTGTGTAAGAATACTCTACAATGTTTGAACAACAATGAAATCACCTAATGATACATTTCTCAGAACCTATGCCCATCATTAAGTGATGACATGACTGCATATAGCAAAGTCGATAGTTCTCAATTTACTACCATAAAAACTTTTTGTTCTATTAAAGAAGCACATAATAAATCTGATCATCCATTGTCAACAATTATCAACACATTGTCACTGTTTGCAGTGGCATAATCATGGCTCATTCTAGTCTCAACCTCCCAGGCTTAAGCTATCTTCCCACCTCAGCCTCCCGAGTAGCTCAGGCTACAGATGCATGCCACCATGCTTGGGTAATTTTTTTTTTTTGTAGATATGGGGTTTTGCCATGTTGCCCAAGCTAGTCTTGAATTCCTGGGCTCCAGCAATCCTTCCACCTTGGCCTCCCAAAATGTTAAGGATTTTAGCCATGAGCTACTGCGCCCAGCAGAAAGTGTAACTTTTAATATACTTAAATATAATATTTTCCTTTATGTCTTGTTTAAAGAGGTCTTGCCTATCTCAGTTTTATAGTTTTTAGTCCCTAATGCATACCTACCAAGAAAAAAGGAGAAACAGAATAACAGAAATGAAGAGAACTGAAGAGTCCAAAACTGTATCCAACCATAAGTGGAAATTTGGCATATGAGAAACAAACAAACGATATCAGAATGAAACTCAGACACTGCCATCAGAAATCTGGATCATGTAGGCAAATACACTGAATTTAAATAGCACAATTAACAAACTTGAGCAACTACAAATTTAGATTATAACTTTAAACAAAGCAATAATATGGAACACTTACAAATACTGGTTGTGCTCTGGACCAGTGTTTTCTAAACTTCCCTAATGATAAGAATCATCTGCTTATTAAAAATCAGATTCTACATCCCTGCTTCAGACATACTAAATCAATATCTGAGGCAGGAGCCAAGAAGGCCTTGAGTTTTCTACTTACTCAGTGAGATATTAGGGACCTCTAGTGGTAAGAGGACATTTACATGCATGATATGAAGAGATTTTTATACACAGCTGTTGGGGGATAGCTAAATCTGTCTGAATCTCAGGAATATATACAGCAGGCTTAGCAATTTCAAATGTCTACAAGGGGACCAAGAAAACTGGACACAGGTAAATAGGAAAACAGGTAAAGTGGACTAGATGTCCTCTTCCAACAGAAATCCACTCTGCATGTTAAGTATGTCTCCCATTTCCCTTTGTTTTTCATTGTGGCTTTCATTACCTAATTTTTGTTAGGACACAAGAAAATTTTACTTTATTCTCTACTGTAATAAAAATAAAAGAACAAGTGTGAATTTAAGTGGCAAATAACATATGTCCTCAATGTCAATAAATGAAAAGAAGTGGCATGGAAGCCGCTGACTGGAAACCAGATGCACTGAGAGAAGCAGTAACTGAGGCTGCACATACAGCTGGCATAGGAGAATCCTCACCCAGTGTTGCCACATCTTTAGATTTCACCAAATAAATTAGAAATGCAGATTTTTATGTGCAACTCCAGAACTTTAAATGTTGAAAACTAATTAAAACGAAAATGCTGTATTGGTCAGCCATTGCCAGACCAAAGGACAAGTCTTTAGGCCAGGTACAGCTGGCAGGCTCCTACTGTATAAGCCTAATTTTACTGAAATAATGTGATATTAGCAATGAGTTAGATACAGAAATGAACAACAAAAATACAAGAAAAACTAACATTTCACATCTATTAGTACTTTTAGAACTAATGATAAAGATACCAAGAAATCTAATGGATTTGAAAAAGGGAATAAAACCCAGAAATATAACAAAATAAAGGAATAAGGATATCAGAGATATCATTGTGAATATGATCTGCCCCTCCAATATAAACAAAGGAAAGTTCTAAAAACAAAACAAAACAAAAACACCTCAGAAAAAAGTACTTATTTACCAAAGAGTGCTAATATTTTTAATTATTAAGAAAATGAAAAATCTAAAAGAAATGGTCAGTGGACAATCTTAGAAAGATTAAAACCAAAAAAAGTTCAACCATAGTAGTAACAAAAATAATTTTAAATTGGATATTTGGTTACAATATTTATTTTTTTTAGCCAGAGTCTCGCTCTGTTGTCAGGCTGGAGTGTAGTGATGCTATCTTGGCTCACTGCAACCTCCACTTACTGGGTTCACACGATTCTCCTGTCTCAGCCTCCCAAGTAGCTGGGTCTACAGGCATGCACCACCATGCCCATCTAATTTTTCTATTTTTAGTAGAGATGGGGTTTCACCATATGGCCAGGATGGTCTCAATATCTTGAGCTTGTGATCCAGCTACCTCAGCCTCCCAAAGTACTAGGATTACAGGTGTGAGCCACTGAGCCAGCCTGGTCAGAATTTTAAAAACTGTTAGTATATACAGTGTTTCTAATATGAGTAAAATGGACATATACTTCTGGTGGGAATATAAACTAAGAGCAATTGGCAGGAACTACCAAAAGGGTTAAAATATGCATATCTTATCTCCAACACATTCTGTCTCTAGTAATTTCTTAACATAATAACATATGCAAAAGGATATATAGTTATCCCTTGGTATCTGTGGGGTACTGATTCCAGGACTCCCACAGATACCCAAATCCATGCATACTCATGTGCCTGATATAAAATGGTGTAGTATTTGCATACAGCCTATGCACATACTCCATATACTTTGAATCATCTCTAATTACTTAATAATAATACCTAATACAATGTAAACACTATGTAAATAGTTGTTGTATTGTTTATATAATACTGACAAGAAAAAAATCTGTACGTCTTCAGTGCAGATAAAATTTTTTCCCAGTATTTTTGAATACACAGATGTGAAACCCATGGATATGGGGGGTTGACTGTACTTAGAAAAAAGCTAATGGAAGCACTGTTGATAAAAACAAACTTTAGAAAAGAACTAAATTTTCACTAAGGATTGACCAAATAAATTCTGGTAATTAATGGACAATGATGTAGGCTTACTTTTACCTAGAAGATATTAGAGACGTTCAACAAGAAAAGATTTTTGTAAAGTCATAATTCTATTAATGAAATTTTACACCCTCTAAACGCATACATATAATGGTATGCAGGCAACATTAGCATATATTTCAAAACTCTGGAAGGTAATAACAAATTGTTAATCATCTATTATCTCTGACAGGTGACAATATCTTGATTATTTATGGAGGTTCTTGCACTGGATATTTTAAAAATACAAATAAAACTATTTTCATTTTTGAAAAAAATGAGTAACAAAGTGTGTAATTAAAATTTACCTGAGCTATGTTTTATTTTGTTTCTCCGCATAATGGCAGCTTTTCAATGAAACATGAAACATCACATATTGTCACTAAAGTTAAAAATGACTAGAATCGGAGAAAGCTGTTTGTCATCCCATAGGAAAAAGAGGAGTCTTACTTACAAAAATCCTGGGTTCAATATGTAATAGCAAAATCAGAAAACATTTCAGCTAACTTTCCAATTTAGTGCTGTGATTAGAACATCTTCATAACTATACAAAAGAAAAGCTATCTTAAAAGTGCTTAAAAACATTAAATACAGAAATCCTATCTACCAAAAGATATAAAAAATTTACTGTGATTTCAGCTGAACCATTCACAAAGGGGAATTCAAGTGTTCTGACTTCCCAATAAAGAGTGGGGTATCAGTATCTTCCTCATTAGAACCTTTAATGGTGGCTCCTATAGTGCCGACCAAATCAATTCCAGTATGGTTATTGTAGTCATCCTTAAAATAAAAAATGGAAAACAATTAGAGAAACTGGTCAAATGATTAAACCCAGAGAAGAGCATATACAAATCAGAAAGAAGACATAGAGCCCCCAACATTAAATTATCTGGATCTTTCTTAATCTAAGCACAGAATCCAGTTTTAAGTTTGAGTGTTCCACAGGAAAGAAATAGTTCTGGAAACCATAAAAGAGCAACAGACTTCCAGCTAATACAACAGTTCCCACCTTACTGAATTACAAGGACTCCCATTTTAAAATGTCACCTTTTCATGTACTTTTAGCACCTACTGATGCGAAAAAGTGCTTAATAAAAAGTTACTAAAAACTTGTAGTGACTTTAATTATTTTATTAACTCCAGCAGCATTTGTATACATTTGAAAACCAATAGGCCTCTATGTGTCTCACACAATGTTTGGAGCTTATATGAGATTCAAAGACCCTTGGAGTAATTCTATCTGTTTACCCCAACAAGATGTTTTGGAAAAAGAGATGTTTGAGGAAGAATAACCAATCATCTAAAGCAGGAAAATAAACTGAAAGTAAATATGTATCCCACCAAACACATTTTCCATAAAGGTGTAGTCCCACTACTGTGTTCTACATGTTTTTGTTAATATTTTTGGCAGCCGTGTTGCTGCTTACGCTTCATGAAATCAAGCAGCCTTAGAGGAGCTCTGATTTTCTTTCTTAACTATGAGCAGTCATCAGAGCACATCTCTTAAAAAAAAAAACTTATCTCCTTCTGTCCCCTCAGTGAACTGGACATTGAAGAGTCAACACAGTTCACACTCATTCATGATATATACACGAAACAGGTGAGTAAAGATATGTATTAGGCAAAGTAGCAGCTGGGTGTGTGGTTCACAGCTGTAATCCCAGCACTTTGGAAGGCTGAGGAAGGAGGATAACGTGAGGCTAAGATTTCAAGACCAGCCTGGGCAACATAGCAAAATCCAGCAAAATCCCACAGAAAAAAGTTAGAACTAGCCATGTGTGGTGCTACGTGCCTGTGGTCTCAGCTCCTCAGGAGGCTGAGGTGGGAGGACTGCTTGAGGCTGCAGTGAGCTATGATTGTGCCACAGCACTCTAGCTTAAGTGACAGAGCAAGACCCTGTCTCAAAAAAAAAAAAAAAGGTGGGCAGATTGAGATTTCTGCATGTTGAGTCAGTTCTGCTTAGTATGTCTGGATTCACTTCATGTATAATGCTAAGTATTCTCTATTTGGATTAAAGTACAAAGATATTTATGAATACGTAATTCATCTGCACAAATTTTTCCTATAACCTTAAACACAGCAATTGATAGAATCCATAAAAATCATTTTGTACCCTAAAATCAAAGATAATTTTTCTTGTTACCATTTGAAGCTTTGGAAGAAAATAAACATTACCGTATCTCTGACCGAGGTCCTACTGGCAACTGAGCGAATATTAGAAACAGCTGGTGTAGGTGGTTTAATTTTAGGCACTAACTTCACATGTTGATTAGGCAGGACATCAACTATAATCTTACAAAACAAGAGAGACATTCTGATTAACAACATGTCGATGCGTTAGCATTTAAGAAGAAGGGAAGGCATGATGACGGCACATACTTAATAAAATTAGAAGTTCAGCCGGGCGCATGGCTTACTCCTGTAATCCCAGCACTTTGGGAGGCCAAGGTGGGCGGATCACAAGGTCAGGAGATTGAGACCATCCTGGCCAACATGCTGAAACCCCATCTCTACTAAAATACAAAAAATCAGCCAAGTGTTGTGGTAGGTGCCTGTAGTCCCAGCTACTCAGGAGGCTGAGGCAGGGGAATCATTCAAACCCGAGTGGTGGGGGTTGCGGTGAGCTGAGATTGCATCACTGCACTCCAGCTTGGCGACAGAGTAAGACTCTTTCTCAAGGAAAAAAAAAATTAAATGTTACCTTCTAAAATTTCCATGAATCTTTTAAAAGTAACCAATTTGCTTTTAAGATTCAGTATAAAAGTCAGGTCAGGTTAATTTTTGATGTTTATGGCCATCTAAGAACAAACTTAGAGGTATTAAAAAACATAGGTAATTTAAAAAATTAGCATACCATCAGTATTGTTTTTTTGGGGATGGAGTCTCGTTGTGACACCCAGGCTGGAGTGCAATGGTGTGATCTCGGCTCACTGCAACCTCCGCCTCCCAGGTTCAAGCGATTCTCCTGCCTCAGCCTCCCAAGTAGCTGGGATTACAGGCATGCAACCACCACACCCAGCTGATTTTTGTATTTTTAGTTGAGATGGGGTTTCACCATATTGGCCAGGCTGGTCTTAAGCTCCTGATCTCAAGTGATCCACCCACCACAGCCTCCCAAAGTGCTGAGATTACAGGAATGAGCCACCACGCCTAGCCTATACTAACAGTATTAAATGTAGATGATGTATACTTAAACTACCTTGAACATCACTATCTAGAATTCTAATAACTGAAATACTGTTTAGTTTTAATTTCCAATTTTTATTATTTTAAAAATTTTACCTTAGATTCAGAAAGCATATGTGCAGTTTTGACATGAGTATACTGCAGGACGCTGAGGTTTGGGCTTCTAATGATCCCGTGATCCAAGGAGTGAACACAGTATCTAACAGGTAGTTTTTCAACTCTTGCCCACCTCCCTCTATCCCCCCTTTTCCAATCCCCAGTGTTCACTGTTCCCATCTCTGTGTCCATGTGTACGCAATGTTTAGCTCCCACTTGTAAGGGAGAACAGGCAGTATTGGGTTTTTGGTGTCTTAGTTAATTTACTTAAAATAATGGTCTCTAGCCACATCCATGTCGCTACAAAGGACATAATTTGGCTCTTTGTTATGGCTGTGTGAAATATTACTAATATTTTTTCATGCATGGTTGGTATGAGCAACTTTACCACACCACACACTGAAATGCTGACTAAGTCTCTGATATAATAAAGACAAATGGAAGTGTTACTCCTGTAATAGGCCAATTATTGAACAAATTTAAACATATTCTATACTAATTTTCCTGAAAATTGAATTATTTATATTTCACATCCAATAATTACTTCACTTTTAAACAAAACATTTTGTTCATAAACTACAGGAGAAAATGTCAAGCTATTTCATTTAATGCAGAACCAAGGGGGAGAAAAGAAAATATAAAGCTAACTGATATATAAATAAAGCAAGCAAACCTGTTTACTGTTGAGAATATTTGTTTTATCCATCATAAAACCAAACTGGATACAATATGCCCCCACTTTATTAGGAATTACTTTATCCCTAAATTGAAAAGAAAGTTAAGATTACTGACAATGTTTGTATAAAAGAGGAAAGAATTTAAAGTGTCAACATTTCTGTTCTTTCCACAAAAATAAATGACTAGAAAGAACTACTAATACTATTTTGATCTTCATTCATTCAACAAAGTTCTTGCTTACTGCCAGGTTCCTCTTACCTGCTCATTCTTTCACAAAACATCCAGAACAAAGGCACTGGATATGATAAAAATGGAAAGAACAGGACTATGAAGTTGGGAAGGCAGTAAATACACCGAAAATCCTGCATTATATGTAAATTTCGCTTCATTTCTAGTTTATAAATTTCTGACAGTTTTGTATTTCAAAATTATAGAACATCCTGCTCATCTATGTAACTTTACTTCCATTCAGGTATTATTTGAAATATTTAACTACATATACTAAGTATTTACTGTGATTCAATAATCAATAAGGAACTCAGTGCCTACACTTATTAACCTATTTAGGTCACGCTTTACCACAATGAAAATATGAATGATATTCTACAGTATGTGTAATGTAGCTCATGATCCCTAGAGTAGCTTTTGCATGTCATTCACATTCTCAAAACACTGGCTCAATGTATTAAAAAGCACAGACTTCAAATACATATTTGAATTGAAATCCCAGCACTGTAACATTTACGCAACCGTGAAGAAAATTATTTAAGCTTTCTCTGTACGTTTTCTTTCAGATGGTAGTTCTTAAGAAAGTTATATTGAGAATTAAAACAAGGCTGGGCGCAATGCCTTGTGCTTGTAATCCCAGCAATTTGGGAGGCCAAAGCAGGCAGATCACTTGAGGTCAGGAGTTTGAAATTAGCCTGGCCAACATGGTGAAGCCCTGTCTCTACTAATAATACAAAAATGAGCCAGGCGTGGTGGTGCAAACCTAAAGCAGACCAGCTTGCCAAAGAAATGGGACTTGGCTTTGAATCATCTCAAATCTCTGAAACTGGACTGAAGTGGTAATAGATGGGTAGCAGCCCAGACAACTGACAGAAACAAATGTAACATACTCTTATCCTATATATCAATTATTTCTATAAATATTCATAAATAAAATGTCTAGTGCCTCTAGTCCCAGCTATTTGGGAGGCCAAGGCAGGAAAATCACTTGAAACCAGAAGGCAGAGGTTGCAATGAGCCGAGATCATGCCACTGCACTCCAGCTTGCGTGACAAAGTGAGACTCTGTCTCAAAAAAAAAAAAAAAAAAAAAAAAAAAAAAAGACAGAGAAAGAGAATTAAAACGAACTTCTGTTTCCAAATGGCAGGCCAACCCTTCATGATGAAAACAGCTGTACAACAACAAAAAGATTGCTTGAAAATGTTCAAGAGTTAACAAGCTAAAGTAAAAAATAACTCAGCAGAATATAAGAATGGAGATTTCACACTTAAAGATGCTTTACTCCTGAGAGTAAATTCTAGCAGCACAGGTAAACCTAAAGCAGACCAGCTTGCCAAAGAAATGGGACTTGGCTTTGAATCATCTCAAATCTCTGAAACTGGACTGAAGTGGTAATAGATGGGTAGCGGCCCAGACAACTGACAGAAACAAGTGTAACATACTCTTATCCTATATATCAATTATTTCTATAAATATTCATAAATAAAATGTCTAGTACAGCCATAATAGAATCACCAGATACATGAAGGATGGAAATAGAATGAAAACTACAGAAACCAGGAGAAAATCACAACAGAACTAAAGGAACTCTAGGCAGACTTTAATACATTGATTAACTGAAAATGCCAAATGGAAATTGGCAACTCAAGAAGCGATTTAACAGAAAATCAGATGTCACTGAATAGAGAATCAGTTAACTGAAGACAGTTCAAAGTAATCACCTAGAAGAAAGAAGAGAAAAAGAATGGGAAAAAATTTACAAAAATTTTAAACTTAAGACAATGAAATCAAAGCCCATGAAAACTCAGCAGGATATAAAAAAGAAATCCACATAGACATATCACAGTAAAACTGCTAGGCATAGTAAAACTGCTTGGCAGGAACTGCTGGGTTAGGCAGGGGAGGAACCAACCACAAAACAACCAAAGAAGGGAAAATATATTTTCTAAAAAACAATAATGAGACTGACAACAGAATGATGGGATAGTGAAGGATGGTGGTAAGAAATTGCTGACCTTTAATACCATACGCAGTAAAAATATCCTTCAAGTATGAAGGTGGAATGAAGATATTTTCAGGTAAAACTAAGATAATTCATCACCAGTAGACATACTGAAGAAGCGTCCCAAGATGGAAAACAATACCAGATGAAAGCCTTCAGTTCAAGATTAACAGAAAGTATAAACGAATAAATCTAGATGAACACTGACTGTAAGCAATAAACATGATGCCTTGATAGGTTTAACATGCACAACAAAAAAGGCATGTCAATTAGGAGAAAGGAATGAAAGTAAATGGTCCAAGATCCACGCACTGCTCAAAGCAAAAAAATACAAACTTATTAGATATTGGTATGTCAAGTATACATGTTACAAATCTCTAAGGAAACTGATTAAAGAACAGTGAAAGAATGTATGACTACCAAGTTACAAAGGAATAGAAAATGACAACTAGAAACAATAAATAAATAAATAAAACAGGAAAGAGGAAAAAAACCAATGGATCATACAGAAAACAAAAGAGATCCCAAACCAAGTGAATTGGTATATGCAAGACCTAAACTTTCAATTAGAAAACAAAGATCATCAGAAAAAAAAAGATAATGCCATTTACAAAAGATACACTTAAAAGTATACACACATACCTGCACGCACGCATGCACACATGCACGCACACACTAATCCTTGCACACACTAACCCTCATGATTCCTAAAGTGGCTTTTGCATGTCAGTCACAGGGAAAGTTGGTATACTGCTATCAAAGTAAACTTTAAGGCAAAAAACATTACGAGAGAAAAAGAATACTTCATAATAATAACAGGTTTAATTTGCAAGAAAATTATAATAAAAATCTAAGTCTATGTACCTAATAACAAAGCCTCAAAATATGTAAGGCAAACACTACAAAATCAACCTAAAAAATAGACAAACTGGAGATTTACTGCCCTGTTGGGTGAAAGACAAAAAAAATAAATAAAAGTTAGAACACTGTACCTCAAATACAAAAATCACATTATTATCTAATATATTTGGAACATATACAAAAATTGACTATTACATACCCAGCACAAAAACAAATACCAACTAATTTCAAAGGACCGAAATTATCTAGTGTAGACTTTCTGCCCATGGTAGAATTAAGCTAGAAATTGAAAAAGATAACTAGAAAATTTCACAGTTTAGTAAACATCTGAATAAGCCATGGGTCAAAGGATGAAATCGCAATCAAAACTGGAAAATATTTTAATCCAAGGCTGGACTCAGTGGCTCATGCCTGTATCAGCACTTTGGGAAGCTGCAGTGGAAAAACTACTTGAGACCAAGAGTTTGAGAGCAGTCTGGGCAACACAGTGAGGCCCCCATATCTACTAAATTAAAAAAAAAATTAGCTGGGTGTGATGGTGCACACCTGAGGTCCTAGCAACTAAGGAGGCTAAGGCAGGAGGATTGCTTGAATCCAGGAGTTCAAGGCTATAGTGAGTTACACAGGGCCCTCCAGCCTGGATGAAAGAGTAAGACCCTGGTTGAAAAAAAGTAAAAAGAAAAAACAATTTTTGATCCAAATGTTAATAAAAATAAAACATACAAAACTAGTGAATGCTATTAAAGCTATGCTTAGAAATATACAGCTCTACATTTACATATATACATACTGTGTATGTATATGTATATGACCACAATAAATAAGAAACTGTCTCAAGCAGTTTTAATAAAAGAACAAATTAAATGCAAAGGAAGTAAAGGAAATTAATTACAGCATATGAAAAATGTATTTTAAAAGCCAAAACTCTGTTCTTTAAAAGATCTACAAAATTGAAATCTCTTACTAAGATTAATCAAGCCACAAAGAGAGTACAAATAAAGTCAAGAATGAGAGATCATTAGATCTCAAAGAAAATAAGAATAACATAGTATGAAAAACAAATTTGAAAATTTAGATAAAATTGATAGTTCAATAGCCAGCCATGGTGGTGCACAACTGTGGTCCCAGTTACTTGGGAGGCCGAGGCAGGAGAATCGCTTGTACCCGGGAGGTGGAAGTTGCAGTGAGCCAAGATCACACCACTGCACTCCAGCCTGGGTGACAAAGTGAGACTCTGTCTCAAAAACTTAAAAAAAAAAATTGATAGTTTGATAAATATATCAAAATTGAGCAAAAGACAGGAAACACAAATAGTTCTGTAACTTCTGAATTTGAACAAACTGCGTCCACTACTAAAACCTTTCCCCCACAAAAACACCAGGCTCAGATGGCTTCACTGATGAATTCTATCACCATTTTAAAAAGGAATAATAACACTCTTATATAAGAGCCTCCAAAGAATAAACCAAGACAGAGGGAAAATTTCTTGCTACTTTTGTGAGGCCTACATGACCTAGACAGCAAATTAAGAAGAATTTGTAAGAAATAAAATGCAGGTTAACTTCAAACATCAAGGTAGATGTAAAAATCCTAAGCAAAACATTAGCAAAACAACTCCATCAATATATAAAAATGATAATACGACATGATGAAGTTGGGTTTATTCCAGTAATTGCAAGGTTGGCTGACCATTCAGAAAACTCATGTACTATAATCACCACATTGAAAAGTAAAGGAATAAAGTCTGTTCTTAAAGGGTATTTTTTAAAGGAAAAATAGCACATTTTGTCTGAACAAGTGATGAAATCTAAAGTCAATTTATAATTAAGAGAACGTCTCTTAAGGCTCAGAAATGAATAGTTTGATAAAAGAAAAACTCTAAAGCAAACCCCACACTTAGTGGTGGAATGTTAAAGTGTTCGCTCTGAGATTCGAAACCATAACAGGATGATCACTCTCATCATGTCTACTTAACATTTTGCTGTAAATCCAAGGTGTAGTATAAGAAAAGCAAAATACACAAAAACTGGAAAGTAACAAACCTACTATCATAAATCATAGATATTTTTATTAAATCCCAAAGAATCTACAAATAAAATTAGAGCCAGAAGTGGTGGCTCACCTCTGTAATCCCAGCACTTTGGGAGGCTGAGGTGGGAGGACTGCTTGAGCCCAGGAGTTCAATATCGACAGTGAGACCTTGAGTCCACAAAAATTAAAAAATTAGCCTAGTGTGGTGGTGTGTGCCCGTAGTCCCAACCAGTTGAGAAGCTAAGGCAGGAGGGTTGTTTGAGCCCAGGATTTCAAGGCAAGCCCCAGACAACACAGTATGACCCTGTCTCTACAAAAAATAAAGGTCAGATGTATGGTATGGGTCTGTAGTCTCAGCTACCTGGGAGACTGAGGTAGGAGGACTGCTTGAGCCTGGCAGGTCAAGGCTACAGTGAGGCAGAATTGCACCACTGCACTATAGCCTAGATGACAGAGTGAGACCCTGTCTCAAAATAAATAATAAAATAAAATTAGAAATAAAGGAGTTTAACAAAGATAACTGATACAAGATCAGTATACATAAATCAACTGAATCTCTATAACCAAAACAACAGAAAATGAAAATTCTTTAAGAGATACCATTTATGGCCAGGCATGGTGGCTCATGCCTGTAATCCCAGCACTTTGGGAGGGCGAGGTGGGTGGATCACCTGAGGTAAGGAGTTCGAGAGCAGTCTGGCCAGCATGGTGAAACCCCATCTCTACTAAACAAATATAAAAATTAGCTGGGAGTGGTAAAGCACACCTGTAATCCCAGCTACTCCGGAGGCTGAGACAGGAGAATTGCTTGAACTAGAAGGCAGAAGTTACAGTGAGCCAAGATCATGCCATTGTACTCCAGCCTGGGTGACAGAGTAAGACTCTGTCTCATAAGATACCATTTATAATAATGCCATAAAAATATCAATAATTTAGGAATTAATCTAATGAAAGATATATAAGACTTTGAGAAAATTATAAAATGTTATAAAAAAAATAAAGAAAGTTAAATAAATGAAACAATATGTCATACTCATGAGTTGAAAGATTTTCCCAAATTTCTGTTCAAACAAATCCTAAAAGGTCTTGCCACTTTAGATGTGTTTTGCTTATTTGAATTTGATATACTGATAGCAAAATTTATATAAAAAAACAGAGCCAAGATATGAATGAAGAACAAGGTTGGAGTACTTGTTCTACTGAATACCAGACTTATCAAGACAGTGTGGCACTGGCAAAATAAATAGGCCAATAAATCAAAATAGAGAGTCTATAAATAGACCCAAACATGTACAGATATATGACTAAGGATGACACTGTAGAAAATTATTTTTTCAATAACTAATATGGTATATATATACATATATACATATATAAGAATAAAAAAAAACTTGACCATCTGCCTCACACTATACATATATATATATATTTTTTGAGACAGAGTATTTCTGTGTCATCCAGGCTAAAGTGCAGTGGCACAATCTCAGTTCATTGTAAACTTTGCCTCCCAGGTTCAAGAATTCTCGTACCTCACCCTCCTGAATAACTAGGACCACAGGTGCACAACACTACACCTGGCTAATTTTTATATTTTTAGTATAGATGGGGTTTCACCATGTTGGCCAGGCTGGTCTTGAACTTCTGACCTCATGTGATCCACCTGCCTCAGCCTCCGAAAGTGATGGGATTACAAGTGTGAGCCATTGCACCCAGCCTCACACTATACATTAAAAAAATTTCCATATATAACTGTACACAAAGAACACAGCAAACCTAAAGTGATATCCATAGAAAGGCCTGCTTGCAAGATGGGTCCCTGGCAGACATCTGTGAGTTTAGATTTCAGGATGTTTCCCACCTTTAACTGATATGAGTGGCTCACATTGCCTAAACCACTGTGCTAATATGGTTTATTCCACACACTTGATTTCTTCTGGAAATTTGGTTTTTGCTAGGCAGAGGCCGCCTATGTGACCCCACCCTAACAAAAACCCTAGGTGCTGAGTCTCTAGTGAGCTTCCCTGGCTGACAACATTTTATACCCATTGTCATAATTTATTGCAGAGGAATTAAGCACATACGATGTGACTTAACCAAGACAGAAAGCTTCCTTTGTGTCTGGTTTCCCTTGGATATCATCCCATGAGCTTTTCACCTTGCTCATTTCACTTTGAATCCTTTTGTTTCAATAAAACACAGGTATGAGCCCCACTATATACTAAGTCCTGTGAGTCCTCCTGGTGAATCATCAAATCTGGCATTGGTATTGGGAACCCCCAATACAGTAATACAGTAGAATGTGTTGATGACCTAAATGTAAGGAAAGACTTAAAACAGGACACAAAGAAGATCAACTATAAAGTGGGAGAGCAAGCCACAGGACAGGAAAAGATGTCTAACAAAAGGCTTATATCTCTAATATACAAAGAACTCCTACAAGTTAATATAAAAAAATGCAAAAGTTGGTCAGACACTCAAATAGGCACTTCATAAAAGGTAATCTAAGTGGCCAATAAATATGATAAAAAGGGAAATGCAAATTAAGAGTAAGTCTGATGTCACTCTATTACACGTCAACCAGAGGATTATACCTGAAAAGACCAACAAAACCAAGCGTTGGGAAGGGCTATGCTTGTAATCCTACCACTTTGGGAGGCTGAGGTGGACAGGTGGCTTTGAGCTCAGGTGTTCGAGACTAACCCTGAGCAATGTGGTGAAACCCAGTGTCCACACACAACAACAACAACAACAAAATTAATTTGCTGAGCATGACAGCACATTCCTATGGTCCCAGCTACTGGAGAGGCTGAGGCAGGGCGATCACTTGAGCCAGGGAGGCAGAGGTTGCAGTGAGCCATTGCACTTTGGCCTGGGTGATAGAGCAAGACTCTGTATCAAAAACAAACAAATCTTCAAGCTACTCAAGTTAAACATACACATTTATGTTCGGTTTCACTAAACTTATAACCCAGCAATTTTACTTTTATATGAGCACCAGTGTGATAAACATGATTTATAATAGCCCAAAACTTAAAATGCAAATGGCCATTAGGAAAATTGTAGTATGTTCACACAATGAACTTCTATACAGCAATGGAAATGAACAGATTTATACGTATATGCTACAGAATAATCTCATGATGCTGAGTGTGAGAAGTCATATACAAAAAAATAATTGTACATCAAATTCAAAAATGAGCACAACTAAATCAGAGATGATAGGGATGTGTGGTAAGATAAATGGAACTCTAAATAAGAACAAGTCAAGAAAGGGTTTGTGGTATGTACACATGTGTGTCTGCAAGAGTGTGTGTGGCATGCACAACAGGAAGGAAGAAGGTAATAACTGGAAGAGGTAAGAGGTGGAGCTTCCATGATTGGTTCTTTACCAGTTCATCTGAAAAAGCACTGAACAAATATAATGAACATTTTGACCCTTGTGATGATAAAGGATTTTTAAAGAAACTTAAGACATATCTTTTCAGATTTGAAAATGGAGGTCCAGAATGTAGCAGCAACATTCTCAAAGTCACAGAAACGTCAAAAGTCAGTCCAATCTTTATAGAAACCTCCTATATAATAAAGAGTTACAAAGTGCTTTGACAACATAAAAGAATTCTTCTGATGACTTCGATTTCAAAAGCAAATATAATTACAATTTATAAAGCTTAAAACCAATTTAAAGCTTAAAAATGAAAACACAACTTTTCCCAAAAACAGACAAAAATTTAGAGATACTAATATTTCTATTTGATCATAAATTACTTTGCCTCAGGTGAGCCCACAAATATCTCCAGGGTTGAATTATTTTGTAACAAGGTATGTATTCGAAATATGAAATGATTTGAGAAATACCTGAAATAGAAGCAGCCATCTTCCTTGTCATTATCTTTTATTTTATTACAACTAAATGTTTCTGCCTAGAAAGGTGAGTAGGGAGAAGCGGAGAGGGGAAAATGAAAAAATTTAACATAGTATACTTAGGAGGAAAACTTATTATATACCTGAACTGAAGGTGAATCAGATCCCATTTATGATACAGGTAGACAGACACATATATATATATCATGTGAAGTACAAAGTGAGTTTAGTCACAGTGGAATGACACCCCATTAAAAAAGACACACAATAGATCTTTATGGTGATATTATTTTAAGGTAATAGCAACTTGACTGGACTGACAGTCTAAATTAAGCAAGCAAAGATTCAGGATTAATTAAGCAAAATAGTTTCCAAAACCAATGATTAAAATGAGACATAAACGTTGAAGTAGGTATCAGGACACTGACAAACTTTAGTTTCCAATTTTAGATTTCAGATCTTCCTTGTCCAAAATGGTAACTAACAGCTAGTTGTGGCTACTGGGCACTTGAAATGTAGCTTGTCCGAATTGATATACAGTGAAAATAAACACCAAATTTCAAAGACTTAGTAAGATAAAAGAATGTAAAATACCACCAATAATTTTTAAACTATTGAATATATGTTGAAATGGTAACTTTTGATATATTGAAAGGTTAAAAAACATTAGAATTCTACTTATTTCTTTTTAGCTTTTTAATGTAGCTACTAGAAAGCTGAAACACCAGGTGTCATCTTTCTACTGGACAGCACTGCTCTAGACCCTCGAACTCTCTCTTCACTCTTCCAAGCAGTCTATCGATCCTATCTCTTTACTGTCTCATTTTCTATATTATCCCCTCATGATATTTAATAGCTTCTGCGTTATGCTACTGTCCTTGAGATGAAATCATTTTAATGTATAGGCATCTTAAAATGTTAAGAAAAATCACAACATAAACTACTACTCTTTTACAGTAGCATCAATCCTTAATTTTGAAACATACACTGATGTAATTTCTTTAACCCCAAAGAATAGAGTGAATTAACTTCCGTTTCTCAAATTTATGTAACATTATATATTTACATTAAATTAAATTTAGTTTTCATTTAAATGTGAGAACTATTTTTAACTTCAAAAAATGCTTCCCACGACTCACATTTGCTGGGGGTCGGTTCCCACTGGTAGAGAGCTTCCACATTTTCATGGAAATACGTGTTGGATTAATATTTTTAATAATACTGTCATCTTCAGAAATAACACTAATCATAAAATCTGTCATGATAAACATTAAAAAATTATTTTCTTTCCAGTTCAATTAATGGATATGGTTAAATAATTGTATGCCGACCAAAAAGACTAGACTATGAATACTCAGCAACTTAGAGTTAGACCAACTGGTTATGGCACCGTATGCTTTATGTATTCTAAGAACAGAATATTTACTTTCTTTTATGATTTTCTAGAGCATACAATAGCCAAAAGAACATTATAATAATTCCTATTATATTTACCACCCATAACATTCATTTGGCACCTGTTATTAGTTTCTTAATCACAGGATAGATCTCCCTGAAATAGAGTTACTTTATACAAAGTATAGTCTACTTTATAAAGTATAAAAAGCTGTATATACATGTAACTTAATTATTAAAAATTATTGTTAAGAAATTTTACGTCTAAACTTTGAGGTGCTTCATTCACTACTTAAAACTATGTACAGGAATTCATTCTTTAAGAAAACAGAAGTCTTCCAGAAAATTATTTGTGTAAAGCAAAAACTAACTTCCTGTTGACTTAGCATCTGCCACATGATATTGAAATCATTTGCTTCCCTGTCTCCTACATTAGACTGAGCACACTGAAAACTGTGCTATTCATTATTGTAATTCAGAGCACAGCATAGTATCTTAACATAGTACTATTTAATAAAAGTTTGTTGTTCTAAAATATCTTTAATCATAAAGGCTGATGTGATATATTTCCATTCAAATTAAGCTAAATAATTCTAATTATGATGGGTTTAAGATCACAACATCATATCTAGCAGACCGTAACTCTGTAATTCTCACCATTTAGTTCCTGTTTCTTTTACACAATTTCATAATTCAGTCAATGTACAAACACTACCAAAATTAATTACCTCCGACTATCAGTTTATGGATGAACTTTCAGTTCATTCTTGACATTAAAATAATGTAAGACATGGGAATAAGGGTAGGCATTGCTAAGTCAAATATATCTTCTTTGCCACTTAAGAGGCTATTTTCTTTAAGATGACATCATAAGCATGATTTTTTATTGCAATGAACACCTAGGATAAATAATTTATTCCACTAATGTAAAAGGAAAGTTATCATCATAGATTTATTTACGTATGTGAAATACTCACCAGTGAAAAGACCCCCAGCTAAGAAGGAAGCATCTTTGTCATATTTAACATTGAGACAAATGGGTTTTTCTGGGTCTGGAAGAATCATTAATTTAATTACAGGTCCTTCTATGATACTCTTATTATAGATGGCTTTAACCTGCACAGTATGCTCTCCCCTAACAAAACAAAAGGAGAGAGGAGTTCAAATTACATTAGTTAATAACCTAAAAATTCTGAGACAATTACACAAAGTTCAACTCTTAGAAAACCTCTCAACTTCTGTTCAGTCTCAACTCTTGCCTAACATTAAATAGAAGAACAGTCATTACTCTTAACTTCAGCAAGCAATAAGAAAAATGAATCTCTATAATGCCAACAACTATCAAATTTTGGTTCTTACCTAGGGGCAAAAACACTGTATACTCCCAAATTAGCCCTGCCCTTCTCATCTGTTTTATGCTGTTGGTTTGAAGGCATGAGCTAAAAACAAAACAAAATAAAATGGTTAATTAGAAAATGCTAGAGATCAATCAAGTTCATTTCTTCCATTACAATATTCTTTCCCTTTATTCCTATTTGAAAAGCAGTATTTGCATTTTTAAAATCTAAATCTTTAAAATTTGAGCTAGTTGAAATAATGTAATATGTAATGACATAATCCAAAGGGGAATAACAATCACTCATCTTAATCAATTCAACTAGAATTTAATGTATTTCAGTTACTAAGTTGCAAATTTCTATGTTCACTGTTTCAGTATCACTGGTACATCAAATGAAGTTTGTTCACATAAACACTGAATGTATATTCTAAAGTTGGGGCAGGTGTAGGACATAGCATTGGAGAAATATATACTGCCCGTACATACTCAAGACAAAGGGTTATAGCACTATCTTTACTCTTACTTCATTTTTTCTCTTGAATGTCTACTCACATATATTTCTCAAACTTCTGCTGCAATACTACATTCACAGTGATAGCCAAGCTTTCTCTTCCAAGTGATTAAGGATCAGTGGGCACATTTCCTAATAACTGGTTTAGAAGGATCTTTCAGACTTTTACATATGGTTCTCTAAAAACTAGAATCTTATCTCTATTTGGGGTTGAAAATAACCATTGCCTTACTCTACTGGTAGCAAACATTCAGAACAACCATGAATTTGTAGATCACAGTGATGGAAAAATCAGAGTTTCTCCTAAACCCTAAAACCCATTTCAACGTAATAGAACCTAAAGAATAGGTAATAATAGCACGTGCAGACAGGAAAAGCAATAACTGAATAGAAAAAAATGAGACCGAGTATCTGAAATGATAGGATGAAGGCCTATGTTTATTTATACCTGTCCCAATTACCCTCTGGTCCATTGTCTCTTAACCCATCCTTCTCAAAATAAATCTCCCATCTGGGTATCAAATCCTTATTGCTAAGCCAGACAGAGTAAGTGTTTTCAGGTCTGATAGCTGCAGTATCAGCCACATTTAACAGTCTTAAAAACTCCAACTTTAATTACTGTGAAAACAGGTCCATGCGTATAACAAGCCACTCCTAGCACTTTAATCTTCCATATGACTTTTAAGATCGCCTTGTCAGGTTCTGGGAAATCCCTGTTGGGATTCTGATTGAACTAATTAGTTGCAAGAGAAATATCATCTTTACATAATATCAACTGGTTTCTCCCATTACATTTATAAAATACATGTGGAGGGATACTCAATATTGTCTGAATATGACCCCAACTCCCTCTGGCTTGCCTAGCAACAAGCTGGCTGGGACCAATGAATTCTCTTCAACAAACAGAAGAGATGGTATAAAAATATAACTTTGTGGCCAAGCATGGTGGTTCACCCCTGTAATCCCAGCACTTTTGGAGTCTGAGGCAAGTGGGTGGATCACTTGAGGTCAGGAGTTTTGGACCAGCCTAGCCAACATGGTGAAACCCCGTCTCTACCGAAAATATAAAATTTAGCCGCACATGATGGCGCATGCTTGTAATCCCAGCTACTCAGGAGGCTGAGGCAGGAGAATTGCTTGAACCCAAGAGGTGGAGGTTGCAGTAAGCCATGATCGCGCCATTGCACTCCAGCTTGGGCATCACAGCGAATTAAAAAAAAAAAAAAAAAAAACAACGAAACAACTTTGCGAGGACTAGAAGCTTTTCCTCTGTCCCCTAGAAAGAGGGCTTTCAACTTTGCACCAGCCACTAGGTCCCAAGCAGCTTCTCAATACTCGTGGGAATAATTGATACCTAATCTTGAACTTTCTGATAGCCAAGACTGTTCCCAAACTTTATAAGACCACGTTCATACCTGCCTCATAAAAAGAACAACAGAGGAGAGGAGCCTCACCCTAGAATATACCAGTATGTTCTAACAGCTCTGCCCAGGATCTGGTAGCTCTCCGTAAGATAACAGAGGATAAGTACATGCATGACTCTTTTTGTTTAGCCTCACCATGTATGTTTCCCCAATAATGCCTGTTTCTTAATCCATTCTGTAGGTCACTGTGGTATCTGTCTTCGTTCACTTTGCCAGTGTTAATTATTATGCATCCTAATTTGAAATGCAAGTCTTACTAGTGCTATATAAGAAACACTAAAACAGCCATAACTGTGCAATGTTGGTCCCTTGTACTATTGTAAGATATAAACTCTACTTCCTCAAAATAATTATAAAAAATGTTGAGGTTTATTTAAGCAGTAATGAAGATGATGTAAAACGATTTTTTAAAAAAGCAATAAGACAGCTAAAGATACTATCATGAAAATGAAATCCAGAATTTTAAGTGAAAATGTAAGGAAGTTTAAAGCTTACCTTTAAATTGCTAGCTTTTGTAAGACTTATTTTAACATGTGGTACCGGTGCTGGATTATCCCACTGATCACAAAGTTGAACAATAATAGGGTTCTGTAAATCTCTTCCATGAATCACTGGAATGAACTGAAAAGAATAGAAATATTTTAAGAAACACTAAAATCTATGGGCCAAACAATGCAATTACTTGTTTATTTGTGTAACAATCACTTAATTTATCTCTCTATTTACAAACGGCTTCTTCAGTCAATGAAAATAAACTTTTGAAAGCCAACTAAATTGTCGCAAGTGACCCTCTTATAGAAATGATAAATGATCTGAGAAAAGGAAAAGCAGCACTTGACATGACAGTCTTTCCTCAGCATCCACAGGAGGTTGGTTCTAGACCGCAGGTGGATACCAAAAGCTGCAGATACTCAACTCTTTTATATAAATTGCATAGTGTTTGCATATAACCTAAGCATAGACTTGAAACCATCTTTAGATTACTTATAATACCTAATACAATGTAAATGCTAAATAAATACTAGAATATGATCAACAGAAATAGAAACCTATCTTTGGTTCTCACATTTAGCACTGGCAATCTGTAGTTTAGCTTCTCCCTCAGTCAATGTTCAGCTCTCTGCCACTGTGCATTAAATGCAGTAATATGACTTTCTAGCCCTTGGTTAAACAGGACTACTCACTGGTGATCTTCACTGTTTTGTTGACTCAAAACGTTTCTTGCTTTTCCCCTAGCTAGTATGTAAGGCTGTATAATTCTAGAAATCTGCCTACTGACCTATTAATATTAATAGGAAACATCCAAGGAAACAGTGTTAAACAAGATACCTCACAAAGGCCTAATCCTCTGAGTCACATTTTAAAAGTTAAAAAAAGATGAAAGAGAACAAAGAGAACAACAAAAAACTGACTTATCAGCTCTCCTCTACCAAGAATGTTCTTTCTGCTTCCTCCACCCACTACTCTTAACTGAGGTAGTTGGTAACCAGATTACGAGGAAAGGCTGCTGAAAATGGAAAGAACTAAGTCTGCTATGAATATGACATTATGAAAGAAAGCAAAGACCCTTGAGTTTAGTTATAATGTCCCTCTACTAAAAGGTTACACAGCTACAGCTGTGTTCCTGCTGCCAAAGTTTATAAAAAGCTTGAATTTTGAAAAATGCTGAGTTTCCAAATATAAACATATAGTACTGTATTTCTAATCACATGACTGTTTACCCAAACTACCTTTAAAGGACAGTCTAAGTTTTTAAAGAACTACTAGCTACTTTTAAAGGTTATCTTTAATTAATGACTTGTAGCCCAAACTGCTAATAATAAAGTTCTCTAGAAAATAGAAAATGCAAATTTCCAAAATCAAATGTTCGTAAACATATTAATATCACTTTTTAATAGTGGCATGTTAAAATCTCAGAATTTCAGTTTCCTCATTTGTCTTTGTTATTTTTTTACAGAGACAAATTCTTACTATGTTGCCCTGCCAGGTCTTGAACTCCTAGCTCAGGCAATCCTTCCAACTTGGTCTCCCTAAAGTGTTGGGATTACAAGGCATGAACCCCTGCACCTGGTCAGTCCCCTCATTTATAAAGAATAATATATGTGTTTATTAATACACATATATTTTTCTATTCATCAGGTTTGTGTATTATATGTTCCACCTTTGTACACAGATCCTATCAAGGGTAAGGTGGGTCAGCAACTAGTCTCATCTACATATAACCATATCTCTAACAGACTGATATATTAGTTTATGTTGTATTTTAAGCTTCTGGATTATTATGGTATCTATAAATAACTCTTAGAATAAATTTTTAAGCTAACAAGCTGTCATTATTTTTTATATTCATCCCCAAAAATGATAGAAGACTAACATGTCCAGATTTTTTCCACCATAAAACTGTTCCACACAACTGTTCGAGATTACAGTCAATCAACAAATCCTTCATTGGCATCAATAGGTATAAAAAGTGGGTTAGTTTATGTTTTGTAATTGCTCCCAGAAAAAAACATGCACTGGCTTTTCAGCAAAGCCCTTTAGTCAACACACTATTATTTTAAAAACCATATTTTATAAAGAACACTGTCATAACCAGTTTATCTGCTTTTTAAACTCATAAATGAAAAAGAACAATCTCAAACTAAGGCTTGAGCATATTAACCCTTGTCAGAAAATATCCTTCACTAAGATATTTTCACTTACTACCATGATTGTGTGAGTTCATTTTCTTTTACAGAAAATGTGGGCTGGGAATGGTGGCTCACAGCTGCAATCCCAGAACTTTGGGAGACTGAGGCCGAAGAATCGTTTGAGACCAGGAGTTCGAGATCAGCCTGGTCAACATGGTGAAACCCTGTCCCTATTAAAAATAAACACATTTTAAAATTTTTAAAATAAAAATTAAAGTTAGCTATAATATCAACAGTTAAAGTCCTGGTTGGGTGTGGATTCATGCCTGTAATCCCAGCACTTTGGGAGGCCCAGGCAGACAGATCGCCTGAGGTTAGGAGTTTAAGACCAACCATGGCCAACATGGTGAAACCCCACCTCTACTAAATTAGTGGGGCATAGTGGCACATGCCTGTAATCCCAGCTACTTGAGAGGCTGAGGCAGGAGAATTACTTGAACCTGGGAGGCGGAGGTTGCAGTGAGCCAAAATCATGCCACTGAACTACAGCCTGGATAACAAGAGTAAAACTCTGTCTTAAAAAAAAAAAAAAAGTGAAAGCCCTGCCATTCCTATTCCATAACCAAATGCCAGAATATGGACATTTTAAAACTAGAATTCTATCAAAGGATACAAAATTTCAGTTAGATAGGTGTATTAAGTTCAAAAGATCTATTGTGTGATGTAATGATTATAGTTAATAGTGTACTGCATTCTTCAAACTGCTAATAGATTTCAAATGTTTTCACCAAAAAAATGTGAAGTAATACATATGTTAACTAGCTTGATTTAACCATTCCACGATGTATACATATTTCAAAATATGTTGTATACAATAAATATGTACAATTTTTACCCATCAATCAAATTAGAATTTAAAACTTCAGTTAAAAAAGAAAATCAAAAGATTTGGCAGACATTTACAAAATTATTATTTAAGATTTAAGGGCCGGGCATGATGGCTCATGTCTGTAATTCCAGTACTTTGGGAGGCTGAGGTGGGTGGATCACGAGGTCAAGAGATCGAGATCACACTGGCCAACATGGTGAAACCCCGCCTCTACTAAAAATACAAAAAAATTAGCCAGGCGTGGTGGTGCATGCCTGTGGTCCCAGCTTCTCGGGAGGCTGAGGCATGAGAATTGCTTGAAACCCGAAAACAGAAGTTGCAGTGAGCTGGGATCGGGCCACTACACTCCAGCCTGGTGATAGAGTGAGACTCCGTCTCGAAAAAAATATATATATATTTAAGTACTTGCATAGGAAGGCATACTGAAGTATTTATGGGTATGAGTTGATGATGTTTTTGTGATTTTTCAATTTAAAAACTAAAACCAAGCTTTTTTGTTATAGTAGTTTTTCTCAAACTTTTTGTTACACATAAAACAATGGAGTGAACTAAACCAAAATGGTATAGAAAGTAGCCATACCTGAAAGGTTGTTTTCAAATTTGAGCTATCAAGTCCAACCCCAGCAACTGACAAAGCAGATAAAGAACTTGGTGAAAATGCTTGAATCTGATTTCCGTACTGATCCGTAATTATTATAACTAAGAAAGGGGGAGTTTTATTTTAGTATTATCTTTAAATAGAAGATATAAATATCTATGATATACTTTATAAAAACATGCTTAGAAACTTACTCTTTGTTCTCTGAGTAATTTTTGGTATAAAGTAATTATGGTCATTTAAAAAAATCACTACAAAATAAACATCAAGAATTTACACAGGTATATTCAACTACATTTAATGCAATGTTAATCAGATTTTTTACCATGAAAATCTGAAGATCTGAATGCAATTTTCTAGACATAAGAAAAACTACATAGGAAATCATTCATACATGTATGCTATACTTTTATGTTTAAAAAAGATTTTTTTTAAGCCAAATGCCCATCAATGATAGACTGGATAAAGAAAATGTGGCACATATACACCCATGAAATACTATGCAGCCATAAAAAAGGATGAGTTCATGTTCTTTGCAGGGACATAGATGAAGCTAGAAGCTATCATTCTCAGAAAACTAACACAGAAACAGAAAACTAAACACCACATGTTCTCACTCATAAGTGGGAGTTGAACAATGAGAACACATGGACACAGAGGGGGAACATCACACACTGGGGCCTGTTGAGGGTGGGTGGCTAGGGAAGGGATAAAATTAGGAGAAATACCTAATGTAGATGACAGACTGATGGGTGCAGCAAACCACCATGGCACGTGTATACCTATGTAACAAACCTGCACATTCTGCACATGTATCCCAGAATTTAAAGTATAATTTTTTTTTTTCTGATAATTGTTTTGGTAGTAGGGTATCACTATTTTGTCCAGGCTGGCCTCAAAACCCTTGACTCAGGCAATCCTCTTACCTTAGCCTCCTGGGTAGCTGGGACTACAGGCATGTGCAACATGCCAAGCTTACTTTATACTTTTATTATTAACTTCTAATTAGTAATATTATTACTTCTAACAAAAGGCAAGATTTTTTTTTGACAAAATGTCTGTCAAACTGATTTTAAAGCTATGTCAGCCTGGGCAAAGATAATCAAAATACTCAGTCTTATCTGACAACAGATTTTAAAACAGTAACATTATGTGAACTCAAAAGCTTTCCTTTCAGATTATGTATCTAAAACATCCATGGCAGGAAACATCATAGAAATTTGTTTTTTTGTTTTTTTAAAGCAAGCCATACTAACTTACTTCTCCTTGAAGCTCTTGGCCTATCTATACTGTTTTTCCTCCTTTTAACTCACATTTTAAATGTTTAGGTTCATCAGGAAGTGGTCTGAAACTGTTTAACAAGTTAAAAATCTTTAGTTACACCATTAATTGAAGTAGTTCCAAAATGCTACAGAATAACACATACATAATGTCCATATCCCATAACTCAAATACTCCTTCAAATGCCTCCTTAATTTAGATAATTTACTATTAACACAAAAGAAAATAGGGAAAAGATACCTTGCAAAGATAGTAGAGAATATGGACCAAAAACTTATAGACATGTTAAGTCATAGTATTTATGCTGGATTAAAAGGAAATTATGACAAGAGAACAGATGAGTTAATAACTTATTGAGAGATCTCATTATGGTCACAATGCAGTACATTTGAAAATTCTATCTCAAACACAGAACTATTCTAAGTGTTGGGAATAGTACAGAAATGGGTACAGGGTAGTACAAGAGGTTACTGAAAAAGAGGTGTCCAAGAAATTGATAGGCCAGGGTAAAATCTGTTTTTACACATTTACTTAAGTCTGTCCCTTTAATATGAGTTCTACATATTAACTCTGGTTGGACTCTCAGCTTTAAAAATTCTAAGCAATGAAGGAATTTTTCCTTCTGAACAACACTGACTGATCACACTGTATCTTTTATATTTTTTATGTCATTGTCATTTTGCTGGTGTTTTCACTGTCACTTGCACTAAACTTTCTCTTAATGAAGGTTCCAGCTACTAGAGGGCCGATTCAGTGCAGGGTTACAGTGAGAACAAAAAATAATCGCTATTACCAATGATCCTTTATTCCAAAAATATTCTAACATATTTCATAGAAACTATAATATTTTTACATTAAAAACAACTTTCATATATGTATACTGGAGAAAAGCATTTTTGTTGCCATAAGCTGAATTTTAAAATACTGCAAAATATAATGAGTCCACAAACCTTACTGTAAATGCACTTTCCAAAGACACATGATCATCTTGGAACGAAACTTGGCAATAGCGCATATCTTTTACAGATGTTGGTACTTGTACATCAGGAAGTAGACCCTGTAGCAAGTGTTCTTTGTTAATCTCAGGAGTCCGATTAACCTAGGAGAAAATGATATCTTTAAGAATAAGGCTTAGTCTAATATTCTCCTACTGCCACTTATCTTACTATTAAAACTATATTATAATCCATCTTCTTCACCCCCATGAAAAAAGTCTCTTCAGAAATGGTGGTGGTTCATATACTATTACGATACAAAAGCATCCTCTTTGTCTTTGTTGTTAATATGCTGATTTTTAGTAAGATAAAATAAAAATTCTTAAGTCATTTCTTTAGAGCTTTGCCAGAAAAGTATCACTGTGGGCATTATAGTTTAAAAATAACATATAAGTCAGATCATGTGATTAATTCTGAAAAGCAATATTGAATTACTGAAAAGAATCCTATATATGGGAAGGTTTAAATGAGATCTAGGTGGACCTTATTCTTACTTAGCAAGGTGAGAAAAAAAAATTTCACCCATGAATAGAACTTCTACTTTTCTGACCACATTTTGGCCTTAATCTCTTCTTGGGTGCTTTTAGTTTTTGTATTATTTACACCTCTTACATTCCATATTTTAATGTGTCACTTAATCCATACGTCTTCAAGTTGCTTGCCCTACTCTAACCCTACTTTTAAACTTCCAATACTTTCTATTTAAGAATTCTGACCTCAACTTTCTCTCTGCTTTTATTTAGCCTTCTATAGTTGTGATTTTAAAATCACTAATATTCTATTTTTGTTTTTTATAGACAAGGTCTCACTCTGTAGCCCAGGGTGGAGTGCAATGACATGACCATAGCTCACGGGAGCCTCCGATTCCTGGCTCAAGCAATGCTTCTGTCCCAGTCCCCTGAGTAGCTGAGGCTACAGTCATGTATCACCAGTTCTGCCTAATTTTTTGTTGAGATGGGGTCTATGTTGCCCAGGCTAGTCTTGCACTCCTGGACGCCAGCGATCCTTCCGCTTCGGCCTTCCAAAGTGCTGGGATTACATGTGTGAGCCACCACACCTGGCCTTAGAATCACTAACAGTCTTTTTAAAAAAATTTCTAAATTACACTTTTATTTGTCCTCTACTTTTAGGTTTGGGAGTACATATACAGGTTTGTTACATGGGTAAACTGTATGCTGCTGTGTCTGGTCTATGAATTATCCCATCACCCAGGTAATGAGCATAGGACCCAATAGGTAGTTTTTCAACCCTTGCTCCTCTACTACCCTTCCCTCTTTTGGAATCTCCAGTGTCTACTGTTCCTATATTTTTATGTCCATGTGTATTTAATGTTTAGCTCCCACTTATAAGTTAGACCATTCAGTATTTGGGTTCCTTTTCCTGTATTAATTCACTTAGGATAATGGCCTCCAGCTGCATCCATGTTAGTGCAAAGAACATGATTTTGTTCTTTTTTATGGCTGTGTAGTGTTCTGTGGTATATTTTCTTTATCCAGTCCAGTACTGATAGGCACCTAGATTAACTCCATGTCTTTGCTGTTGTGAATAGTGCTGAGATAAACACAGACACAGAACTACATGTGTATTTGGTGAAATGGCATATTTTCCTTTGGGCATACATACAGTAATGGTATTGCTGGTTCAAATGGTAGTTCTATTTAAGGTTCTTTGAGAACTCATCAAACTGCTCTCCACAGTGGCTGAACTAATTTACAATCCCACCAACAGTGCAGAAGTGTTCCTTTCTCTCCACAACCTTGCCAATGTCTGTTATTTTTTGACTTTTTAAATATAGACATTCTGACTGGTGCGAGATAGTATCTCATTGCTTTTGATTTGCATTTCTCTAATTATAATGATGTTGAGCAGTTTTTCATATATTTGCTGACTACATGCATGTCTTCTCTTATCTGTTCATATTCTTTGCCTAATTTTTAAGTGGTGGTGTTTTTTTTGTTTGTTGCATTATTTAAAGTTCCTTATAGATTCTGGATATTAGACCTTTGATGAATACATAGTTTGTTAATATTTTTTACCCATTCTGTAGGCTGTTTGAATATAGAGTTTGTTAATATTTTTTCCCATTCTGTAGGCTGTTTACTCTGTTGGTAGTTTCCTTTGCTGTGCAGCTCTTTAGTTTGATTAGGTCCCAATTGTCAATTGTAACTACTTTTTTTGTTGTAACTACTTTTGGGGACTTGGTCATAAATTCTTTGCCAGGGCTGATGTCCAGAATGGCTATTTCCTAGGTTTTCTTCTAGAATTTGTACAGTCTGTCTTAATTTGCGTCTTTAATCCATCTTGAGTTAATTTTTGTACATGGTAACAGGGATCCAGTTTCATTCTTCTGCATATGGCTAGCCAGTTATCCTGGCACCATTTATTGAATAGGGAATCCTTTACCATTGCTTGTTATTGTTGCCTTTGTCAATGATGAGATGGCTGTATGGGTACAGCTTTATTTCTGGGTTCTCTAACCTCCTCCGTTGGTCTACGTGTTTGCTTTTGTACCAGCAGCATGCTGTTTTGGTTACCGTAGCTCTGTAGCACAGTTTGAAGATGGGTAGTGTCATACCGCTCATTTTTCTTGGGATTGTTTTGGCTATTTGAGCTCTTTTTTGGTTCCATATGAATTTTAGAATAGGTTCTTTCCAATTCTGTGAAAAATGACAGTAGTCTAACAGGAACAGCACTGAATCTGTAGATTGCTTTGGGCAGTATGGTCACTTTAATAATACTTGTTCCTCTGACTCACAAGCATGAAATGCTTTTCCATTTTTTTTTTTGGTATCATCTATGATTTCTTTCAGTAGTGTTCTGCAGTTGTCCTTATAGAGATCTGTACCTCCTTGATTAGATGTGTTCCTAGGCATTTTTCTCTTTTCTCTTTTTTTTAAATTTTTTTTTTTGTGGCTACTGTAAATGGGACTGTTTTACTGATTTGGCTTTCAGGTTAAATGTTATTGATGTACAGAAATGCTACTGGTTTTTGTACATTGATTGTGCATTCTGGAACCCTACTAAAGTTATCAGCTCCAGGACGCTTTTGGCAATCTTTGGTGTTTTCTATGCATAGAACCATCTCCACAATGAAGCGACAGTTTTATTTCTTTTCCTATTTGGATACTTTTATTTTTCTCTTGCCTGACTGCTCCAGCTAGAACCTCCAGTACTATGTTGAATAGAAGCGGTGAGAGCAGACATCCTGTATTGTTCCAGTTCTCAAGGGGAATGCTTCCAGCTTTTGCCTGTTCAGCATGGTGTTGGCTGTGGGTTTATCATAGACGGCTCTCATTATCTTGAGGTGTGTTCCTTCAATGTCTAGTGATGGCTCTCATCACTAAGGGATGTTGCATTTTATCAAAAGTATTTTCTACATCTATTGAGATGATATGGTTTTTGTTTATGTGGTGAATCACACTTACTTATTTGCATATGTGGAACCAACCCTGAAGCTCAGAAATAAAGCCTACTTGATCGTGGTGAATTAACTTGTTGATGAAAACCACTAATATTCTGTTTCCTAGTTTATGCTTGTCCGATGTTTTTAGTTACCTTTTTATCTTTTTAAACCATCTTTAGTCTCTGTTCTTTATTGTACTAAAAAAAAAAAAAAAAAGGAAAATAAGAAGCAAGCAGGAGCTCCACAAAAATGATAGTCTTTCTTCACTCACCCTGGCTGTGTACCCTCCTCAACAGAGTCCCAGCTCAGTTCAGGCTGACTTCCCTCCTTCTTGGCTTAATTCTCTAAACACTACAAAACCACTATAAAGGCTGTACATTTAATTTAATAAAAAAGGAGTATTTGGTATCTTTTACTGTGAATGAAGAAGTGCACAGACATACATAACAACCAAATTAAAGGCAAAATGTGTCAAATGCAGGCAACAAGCTTAGAGAAGGTATGACAGGGAGAGGCTCTCCAGTCAATGTTTTTCTTAAACTTCTATAGAAATGAGGAAGTAAAAGCATGATTGTGAGAAAGCAAGGAAATAGCTCAGAAGCCACATCCTTGGCACTGTTATTAAACCACTACTTACCTTCAAATCTGCTTAGAGATAAAAATGGTTTACCTCCTTTCCAAGCAGAATCAGAATTACTTCTATTTCAACTCTCTCTTACCTCATCGTGAAGAGGAGAAAAAAGCTGGCTGCAACAAGCATTGTTCGAAGTAAGATTTTAAAATTAAGGTCAGCTGAACCTGTACTAAATAATCCTTCTGAATGACCAGATCTTATGTTTGGAAATACACGATGGGTAGGGTGTATACCAGTGTGAAAGAGGAACTCCTACATAGTGCCATACAGTGTTAACTCTCCAAAAATTTGGTTAATTGCAACTCCTTACTAAGAGTCTATGAATGTCAGCTCTCCAGACATGGAGGAATGCTTATTTCTAACTACCTCAAAAAGCCTGGAATTTTGGTAAATGACTTTTCCCCACTTGGGAATTTTATCCCCATAGACATCAAGGGGAAAAGGTACAGTAAGTTGTGTTACAATGCTTACTTTGAAAATTCAAATTTGTTCCAATAAAATTATCAGTAAACAATTTAAGCATAAGGCAAATTTTACTTTTGCTTAAGTACGATTTCATCCACATAAAAACTAGGTCAACACAGAAAACTATACCCAGCTGAACCAACCAAGTGGGAACACAAAAAATGTTGCACCTCAAACAACTACCAGTTACCTTAGTTGACTATGTGTTATGAGTCACACTCATCTACAGACTGTTAAAACAACTTTTCCTTCGCTTTCAGAAAACCTTCTTTCTACCACTTTACAGTAACTCACAAGCTGCAATCATTCCTAAGACTTTGTCAAGCCAGGTAAACTGCCACATTATTATAGTATTTATGTACTTCTTAACATTTAACATGTATTACCATTATTGTTTTTGCTACTGTTTTATTACGTTCTCTTAATGGGTTACTGAAAAAGTTTGAGTGTTGTGGCTCTAGTTTCCATTTTCGCTCATAAGTCCTGTGATTTTTTTCTATTGCACAATTTTGCACAGCAGAGTGATTTTGGGGAATGCATATGTCTCATTATAGAAAAATGGACTGAATTTTGAAAGCAGTAAGCATAGACTGTCTACCATTCTTTCAATCAACCATAAAGGAAATGCTAAAGAGCTGTCTACTTTACGTAAAAAGACTCTTAACATTTTGATTTGGCTCCCTGTTCAGTGAGATGTTAAGTTTCAACATGCAGATTCAACCCTATCAAGGTACAAATGTCATATTAGGACGATAGCAGGTTCATGAGGACCAACAAAACTCTTTTCTAATAATCACGTTTTTAGAGTGGTATACCAATTTCAGATGCCCAAATCGGGGCTCTGTAGTTAACAACACTGTTTCACTGCTTGCCTTTAACAGATCTTTTGTTTTGTGCTTTCAGAACCGCTACCAATTTATTGCTAGCTTTATTAAGGTGACGATGTTGAGTATGATTGCAGAAAAACAGCTGGTCGGGAAGAGCACAACTTAAAATGTCAAAACCTAGATTTTTAAGTGTCAAAAACATTTTTCTAAGTATAATTTTGTCACATCCACATTTCAACCTAGTCCTTGAATAAAAGCTTACTCTGCTTAGAATTCGAAATAATAGTATAATTTTTCTGTGACAAGCTTCTTTTTTAGAAGCTACCCATAAAAGTGCTTGTTCAGAGTCTTCCAAACATAAAATTTAAAAAGTTCTCACAAATGACCAATCTGTTAGAGATACTCACTTTAATTTTTTCTGCTAAAGCTGATGTTATATTGATTTCTCTTTCACCCTCATCATACATTTGAAAAATAAGATTATGCATAACATCGCCTGCTATCCAATTAACCTCATCCTGATGTTTGATCTGGATTGCCTTTTGTCCTTCTACACTGAATATTTGTAGTCTTGCAACATGGCTACTGGGAAGCAACTTAATAGTCTTCTCCACAGGTGCCACATCTTTACAACTCTAGAAAGAGAAGAAAACACAAACACTGAGTGGTATTTATACTGAAATATTACACTCCTGAAGAATTTACTTTCAATGGTATGGAAGACCATCTCATATACTGTTATACTCACAGGTTTTGTCATTAAGATGGTACCGTACTATTAATAATTCTGTATTTGATACCATCAGGTTATAAATGACAGTGGCCACATTCTTAAAACCAAAAACGGCCGAGCATGGTGGTGGCTCATGCCTGTAATCGCAGCACTTTGAGAGGTCAGGGCGGGGGGAACATGAGGTCAAGAAATTTAGACCATCCCTGTCAACGTGGTGAAACTCCGTCTCTACTAAAAATACAAAAATTACCTGGGTATGGTGGCATGTGCCTATAGTCCCAGCTACTTGGGAAGCTGAGGCAGGAGAATCGCTTGAACCCGGGAGGTGGAGACTGCAGTGAGCCGAGATTGTGCCACTGCACTCCAGTCTGGTGACAGAGTGAGACTCCATCTCAAAAAAACAAACAAACAAACAAAAACAATTATATTTAAACTAAAAGGATTCCCTCCCTTCCTCTTTTTTTTTTTTTTTAAAGACAGAGTCTCGCTTTGTCTCCCAGGCTGGAGGGCAGTGGCACAATCTCAGTTCATTGCAACCTCTGCCTTCTGGGTTCAAGCCGTGCTCCTGCCTCAGCCTCCAGAGTAGCTGGGATTATAGGTACCTACCACCACTCATGGCTAATTTTTGTATTTTCAGTAGAGACAGGTTTCACCATGTTGGCCAGGCTGGTCTCAAACTCCTGACTTCGGGATCCACCCACCTCAGTCTTCCCGAAGTGCTGGGATTATAGGTATGAGACACTGCACCTGGTCTCTTCCTCTTATTTCCAAGTTTATTTAAAAGTATTACCAACTTGTGATATTTTAATTATGTTACATACTCTGTATTTATGAGTAAGAATAAAGACATAAGAAATTAAGAACTTTCCATAAAATTAGAGACAAATGGCTACCATAAAATACATTATTTAATGGTACTAGATTACATTAAAGCTTTCAGTATTTTTTCAATTCATAACACATTGGGGTAAGTGATCAAGGTTGTTTATAGCCAGAAAAGGGCTCCAGATACTCTAGAGACAACTGATCAATATACTGGCATATTTACAATTTATTGTTGGCACACCAGTATTCTACAGATCAAAGAAAGACCTAGATTATACTATATAAATTGATTTTAAGCACATAAAATTAAAAATTACATTATTTCATAATCTAGTTATGAGATAACTAGATTCAACAACACACTCTAACTTTAAAATAAGTTTAAACATAAAATACCTTTATAATTTTACTTAACTCATGTCTCCTTCCTCATACAGTTGCAGCCATTTAACGTATGGAAGCCTATTCATGTGAGTGATACTAAAAATTCCTGCCTCACAGAATGTCAGGCACATAACCATCCTCTGTTGTATCTTATTTTCCTTACTCCTAAACTCTGTTATTGCCATTGGATAACATTTTGTAACTGCATATTAGAGGATTTATGTTGGTGTTTGTTTCATTTTTTTTCCTTCTCTAATAGCAAGGTTTAATTTAATTTAATTTAATTTTTTTAATTTTTTATTGCATTTTAGGTTTGGGGGTACATGTGCAGAACATGCAAGACAGTTGCATAGGTACACACATGGCAGTGTGTTTTGCTTCCTTTCTTCTCTTCACCCACATTTGGCATTTCTCCCCAGGCTATCCCTCCCCACCTCCCCCTCCCACTGGCCCTCCACTTTACCCCCAATAGACCCCAGTGTTTAGTACTCCCCTCCCTGTGTCCATGTGTTCTCATTTTTCATCACCCGCCTATGAATGAGAATATGTGGTGTTTCATTTTCTGTTCTTGTGTCAGTTTGCTGAGAATGATGTTCTCCAGATTCATCCATGTCCCTACAAACGACACAAACTCATCATTTCTAATTGCTGCATAATATTCCATGGTGTATATGTGCCACATTTTCCCAATCTAGTCTATCATCAATGGGCATTTGGGTTGATTCCAGGTCTTTGCTATTGTAAACAGTGCTGCAATGAACATTCGTGCGCATGTGTCCTTATAGTAGAACGATTTATAGTCCTTTGGATATATACCCAGTAATGGGATTGCTGGGTCAAATGGAATTTCTATTTCTAAGGCCTTGAGGAATCCCCACACTGTCTTCCACAATGGTTGAACTAGTTTACACTCCCACCAACAGTGTAGAAGTGTTCCTTTTTCTCCACATCCTGTCCAGCATCTGTTGTCTCCAGATTTTTTAATGATCACCATTCTAACTGGCGTGAGATGGTATCTCAATGTGGTTTTGATTTGCATCTCTCTGATGACCAGTGACGATGAGCATTTTTTCATATGATTGTTGGCCTCATATATGTCTTCTTTCGTAAAGTGTCTGTTCATATCCTTTGCCCAGGTTTGAATGGGCTTGTTTGTTTTTTTCCTGTAAATCTGTTTGAGTTCTTGTAAATTCTGGATATCAGCCCTTTGTCAGATGGGTAAACTGCAAAAATTTTTTCCCATTCTGTTGGTTGCCGATTCACTCTAGTGACTGTTTCTTTTGCCGTGCAGAAGCTGTGGCGTTTGATTAGGTCCCATTTGTCTATTTTGGCCTTTGTTGCCAATGCTTTTGGTGTTTTGTTCATGAAGTCCTTGCCTACTCCTATGTCTTGGATGGTTTTGCCTAGATTTTCCTCTAGGGTTTTTATGGTGCCAGGTCTTATGTTTAAGTCTTTAATCCATCTGGAGTTAATTTTGGTGTAAGGTGTCAGGAAGGGGTCCAGTTTCTGCTTTCTGCACATGGCTAGCCAGTTTTCCCAACACCATTTGTTGAACAGGGAATCCTTGCCCCATTGCTTGTTTTTGTCAGGTTTATCAAAGATTGTATGGTTGTAGATATGTTGTGTTAGCTCCGATGCCTCTGTTCTGTTCCATTGGTCTATATCTGTGTTTTTGTACCAGTACCATGCTGTTTAGATTACTGTAGCCTTGTAGTATAGTTTGAAATCCGGTAGTGTGATGCCCCCCGCTGTGTTCTTTTTGCTTAGAATTGACTTGGCTATGCGGGCTCTCTTTTAGTTCCATATGAAGTTCATGGTGGTTTTTTCCAGTTCTGTGAAGAAAGTCAATGGTAGCTTGATGGGGATAGCATTGATTTTGTAAATTACTTTGGGCAGTATAGCCATTTTTACGATATTAATTCTTCCTAACCATTAACATGGAATGTTTCTCCATCTGTTTTTGTCCTCTCTGATTTTGTTGAGCAGTGGTTTGTAGTTCTCCTTGAAGAGGTCCCTTACGTTCCTTGTGAGTTGTATTCCAAGGTATTTTATTCTTTTTGTAGCGATCAATGTGCAAAAATCACAAGCCTTCCTCTACTCCAATAACAGACTTAAAGAAAGCCAAATCAAGAATGAACTGCCATTCACAATTGCTACAAAAAGAACAAAATACCTTGGTGTTTGTTTTAACTGATCTGGATTCTTGGTCTTCTGCTGATTGGTCTGTAGTAGTTACCTAAGTCCTAATGCTTGCTGCTCTTGCCTCCAAGTCCAGATTCCTCCCTAACCCACAGTCCTAATCTTTTGCGATGAAGTATGCTCAAAAATGTGTTGCCTATACTATTGCATAAGCAAAATGCTTTAGGGTTATCAAATATAACTGTCTTTAAAAGAACCAAAATGAAGAGTCATTTCATTCTAATCTAAAAAGTAAAAGACATCTTGTATCCATTTGGGGTTCAAGCTCTGTTAATAATTGATGTATAATTAGTAGCAAAGTATGAATTAATCAAACAATTAGGTTATCTATCACCATATCAATTACTAAGAAATCACAGTCAATTATTTTACGTAGGTATTTGTTATCCACTCAGCAACCTTAAAAGTTTTACTTAAGTATTTGCTATCCCACTCAGCAACCTTGGCAGACTATTTATAGCTCCTGCCTCCATGTTGTCTTTGCTATCAGCCATGATGCACCGCCAATAAAAAGTATCCTACTGGCACATTATATAGAAATCCCTTTGTGTAAAAACACACATAAAAAGCTGTGCATAAAAATTATATACAAAAATTAAAGGTTTATATGTCCTTCCGTGGTGATTTAAATGGAGATATTTGCCAAATTTTCTAAAACAAATGAGAACAATAAAAAAGCAAAAGGGCTGGGCACAGTGGCACATGCTTGCAATTTCAGCACTCTGGGAGGCCAAGATGGGAGAAATGCTTGTGGACAAGAATTTAAGATCAGACTGGGCAACATGGGAAGACCCTCTTTCTCAAAAAATAAATAATAAAGAACCAAGTGCCTTTATCCTTGTGTGTAGTCCCAGTTACTTGGGAGGCTGATGTGAAAAGATTACTAAAGCCTAGGAGTTGGAGGCTGCAGTGAGAGTCATGATTGTGCCACTGCATTCCAAGCCCAGACAAGAGACTCTATCTTAAAAAAAGAAGAAGAAGAAGAAGAGGAAGAAGAAGAAGAGGAAGAAGAAGAAGAAGAAGAAGAAGAAGAAGAAGAAGAAGAAGAAGAAGAAGAAGAAGAAGGAGAAGAAGGAGAAGAAGAAGAAGAAGGAGAAATAAAATAATGCATTTTAGAAGAAAAATATTTCAGGGAAATGTGAATCAATAATAGTTACAGACACTATAAAAGATACTTAAAAATCAAGACAATGACAAATATTTGACACAAAAATGTTAAAAATAGTCATTACAGCATTTTGTATTGCCTTTGCTTTGCTTTGGCTAAAAGAACCACAAATGCCTCATTTTTAGAAGTTAACAACTTTGTAAAAAACGTTATTAAGCAGTTGAAGACTATTTATATGAAGACTCACTATAATATCAATGAATAACAATAATAACTTACAGGTATTTCAATTCGTGCTTTAAGCGTCTGGTCTTTTTTAATATTCTGAACTTGAATTGCAGATTCTGTTAAAATACTGGTTCCGGAACTACTGCAATCTACAACATACACTGGAAGGTTTGGAGCACCTGAAAACTATGTGAAGGATACAAAATAATGTATTTGATCATTCCATAATTGTCCAAAGTTTCAGATAATTCACGACAGCTACTATTTTTGGCAATGAATAAGAAAATTCTAAGTAAAAGTCACTAAAACTCTAGAATACTTCTGAACAAAAACATTAATTTTCTACTTTACTATGTAAAATTTACCTGTTTTGGAAGGAACACCAACTTCCTCAATCACTATTCTTTTCTTTTTTTACTTAACTGGGTTTTCCTTTTCTTTCTGCGGTCTTCTACCTACCTTCTATTTAATGATCCATTCCCAATCTTTTTTTTTTTTTTTTTCAAGTAAAGGAATAAAGAATAGCTACTCCACAGGCAGAGCAGCCCATTCCCAATCCTGAAAGACATTTCTGTCTATTCATACATAAAATAATTCATTTGAAATAAGAGGGAGGAAGTCAAGGGAGAAGAGGTGAGTCAACTTTTATTCACAAATTTATAAAACTGGGCATAGTTGGCATCTTTACTGGTTTAGGAATTATTAAAAACAAAACAAAATGAAACAAATTATTGGCAGTAAGATCCCACAAATCCCTCCATGGAATAATCATTACAGACTTAAGTCCTATATAGGCTTACTATTGAGTAGCTAAAATGTATAGTCATTGCCATTTACTACAATGGGACTCAGAATCTAAATATCTTCTAACAAGCTTACCTTACAATGAACAATTAATTTTGGTTGTGCTGTTATGTTGTCTGATTCATCTAAAACTTCCACCTGAAATGGGAAAGCTGTTCCATTTTCTGTAACTAAAATTTCGGAATCAGGCTTCACTTTCAGTCGACGAGGGTGACCTAATAGTAAATTAAACAATGAAATACCTATTCAGGTTTCAAAGACTAAAGTACTAAAATAGCAAAATAAACAACTTTAGCATTAAAGATTTAATATTTTATAAACAATGCCAACAAAGAAAAATATAAGCAACGCCCATGTTTAATCAGTTTCATCCCAAAATGTGTAGATTCAATACATGACAAGACTTATCTAAATTGTATGAAGTGCTTGGTGTCTAGGGTAAGTTTCATTCCACAAGGTACGACATAGTGATAACTCACATTAGAAGTTACCTAAAATCTTTAAAAGATACTGGGAAAACGGTATTCAAAAAGAAAAATAAAGGCTTATTAAAACTATTTAGTAATTTTACGTGATGACTGATTTTTCTGGCACAAGTAACTATATGTTTTAGACATTCAAAGGATCAGTTCATGTAATGACATAACCAGGTCATTTAACTGTTAGATTGCCCACTACCTTCGATGTCATCAGCAATTAATATCACAAATTTCCTCTAAGATTAAGAAGAGTGGGCTTACACTTCTGCAGTAAGCCGGTCTGATTTGTTCCATAAACACTGATATTTTAAAATTCAATTAATGCTAAATACTGATAACATAAGTATACAGAGAGAATTACTAAAAATGATTATTTCACTTTGTAATAATATTAGTTAATATTTATGTACTATAGATGGAAACACTGTACTAGGTTTAATTAAGCACTATTCTTACATAAACTTCACAATAATCTTAATGAAGACGTTTCTATTATCAACCCCATTTTACAGGTAAGGAAACTGGGATCCAGAGAAATTAAGTATTTTGTCCAGGTCACAAGGCTAGTAAGTAGCAAATACAGGTTTAAATCTTGTATTTAATTTGAAACCCCTTGACTTTTATCACTACACCATGATACTTCCTATCTACCCCTGCAAAACAACTAGCTGCTAAGAATTGTACTACTCAAATCCATACTTTGAATAAGCTAACCTCAATAAATGAATGTTTGTTGATATGTACAATTTTTTTCTTATACTTCTACCAATGTGCCTACCTAAATTCTTTATCAATTGACCCTGGAGGGAAATCCCAAACAACTTGAATTTGTGAAAGTAGCTAATATGTTTCTTTTGCCTAAAACCAGTAAAAAGTCACATATATGTGATTGTGGCATTGTTCGTATCAGAGCTAAAACTCACATTCTAAACATTGCTATGTTTTACAGGTGCAGGCGGTTCTTACTTGGTACAGTACTGTGTTAATGAAAACTCATGCATATTGGAACTGTGTCCTCCACTGAGTACTACAGAACTGTGCAAGGCAAGGACTACCTGTAGTAACTCATTTAATCCTCCCAACAACTCCAAGGGAGTAGATATTATCTCATCTTACACATGAAGAAATTGACACACAGACGAGTTTACCTAGATATAAACCCAGAAGGGCTGACTCCAGAATGTACTTAGCACCTCTACTATAGAGTGCCTCGCAAATTAGCCGGCATAGTCTAGCCTATGTAGCTTTACTGCAATTTCATTAAATCATTATCAAATTAAGAAAAATTACATTATAAGTATTTCTTATAATATGAAAGTTATATCAACAAAATGTAAATAACAGATCCATCTCTAATAAATATATTCTGAGAAATAGTTCCCCCCAAATATATTCAATACCCAAATTTTTCTCCCAAGATTATTTTTAGAATGTCAATAACATCTTCCTAAATGTTTTCCTTTTTAAAAATTGGTAATTTCTGTCAGTGCTATCGTTCGACATTTAAATGTATTTTGAAGACTTATACCACTACCAAGGCCCAAAAACCTCTAACTTTGTATCATTATACTTTATCATAAGAATATTATTTTTAAATAATTATGAATATTTCTTAAAATAATATTACCAGGTAGTAATCTGATTTTCAAAATCTGTGAGTCTTCTTTTAAGACTGGCAGAACAACTTTCAGGTTATAATTCTGTTGAAGAAAATACTAAAAGTTAAACCCAGTCCTAAATACATACTTAAGTAGTTTATCACATCAGTTCTGATTTATATTTTGCTTTTTTATTTTGATACCATTGTGGAAATTACTTATTAATTTTATACTTACTAAAATTATCATTGATGTATGTCAGAAATCTTACAGGAAAAAAATTCATCAATACTGCTTCCTTATGGACAGTGAAATGAAGAGAATTATGTTAGAACCTACTTTTCCAAAATATAAATATCGTTTTAGGATCAGTTTTCCTCTTAAGTTTTTGTTGTGAAAAGGCATAACCTCTGAATAATTATCATAATCAAGACAGATATTATAAAACATATGAAACAGTAAAGTAGAAAGAAACAAAAACCACAAAGTTTTTAAATGCAATGTGGTACTCTACATGGGCTCCTGGAACAGAAAAATAAATTAACTGGAAACAAGTAAAAAAAAAAATAGTCCATGGTTTTATTGGTAGTATTTTGTCAATGTTTGGATAAATATATAAAGTTCTGTAAGACATTAATAGAGGAACTTTTATATGCAACCTCTCTATACTATCTTTGAACGCCTTTGTAAGTTATTTCCTTTAAAGTTATTTCAAAATAAAAAGGTTTCTAAAATCTAGAAACTTTTAGTAAGTTTATCTTACTAAAGTCAAATTTTCTGTGAATTTCAAGTTGTTTTTCTGGAAAAATCTGAATTCAGAAAGAATCAAGAACTCAATTTTTAACTCGATTATATAAAGCAGTCTATGGTACTTGAAAAAAATATACATGCTCTGTTTTAAACATCACACTGATAGGGAAAAATTTTATAACATTTAATGACACACTGAAAACAAAAGTTAGGTAGAGTGTTCCTTTTAGTCTGTTAAGTCTACTAGCTGCTTTACAGACCTAATTAAAAAATTACCTTATTAGAGTTTGTGTCTTTAGCTACCCTGTTTTTTTGTTGTTGTTGTTTACACCAAAAAACTATACACAGGATCCTTTCCCTAACTTTATCTGTCACCAAACACTTCCTTTTGTCTAAATACCAAAGTGATATGTTTATAGACATGAGCTGAAGTTTCTTGTATTTCTAACTGTCATTTTTGTTCTAAGAAAAATTCAAAAGTGGACAGAAACAGTAGGAAAGAGAAAAAAAAAAAAAAACCCCAGCGTAGTTCTGGATAACTGTGTCCAAAAAAAAAAAAAAAAATGGCTTTGAATGTGAAAAAACTGAAATAGTGATAATAGGGACAGGTGAAAAATATTTAATTCATGTTTAACCAACAACGGTAGTAAATGTGCCAATTTTTCTTACAGATGAAACTGCTAATTCAGGTGGCATAATGCTGATTAATTCCTAAGGACCCAACTACTGTCATCTGGTTTTTAAAAATAGGCCATTCCACTTTTCATTTACAATTTCATTCTTATCATATGAGAAATAAATACTTAACAAGTATTATAGAATCTAAATATAATGCTTACCTTGCCTTGACAAGCGTTTACAGGGCCCTTAGCTGTAACACCTTGAATTACAGAATTTGGTCCTTGGTTATTTCTTCATAATGTAAAGATAAACCACTGAGGAAAAAACATTATTTTTTAACTCCCCTCAATTGCCTACAAGTAAGCTGCAAATGTGTTTTTGCTTTCTGATGTGACATTGGCATGTCTATTTTTCTAATAAAATATTTTTTTAAATATAAAGAATTAAACAAAAAAGTTTCAATGGATTTCTTTTACAAAGAAAATTGATTCAAGAAGTATTAATAAGTGATACTAATGGGTTAAACACTGAAGATGAAACAATAGATACAATATAAAATTAAAATAGCACATATTGAATTAGTAAAGATACAAGATAGTACCTAATCCAATGCTAGACCATGTATACAAGCCTAAGAAAAGGAAATACCCAAAAAAGCCAGGTTTAAGGATGCACTCAGCATTTACCATAAATTATTTCAAATCTTTTACCAGTGAGATTTTAGAGAATTCTGGGCATCTATTATTAAACTGAATGGCCATTTAGATAAAGTTCAAATGATAACAGGCTTATGATGACATAAACCTGTTAGAGTATATACTGAGATCCCCTAATCTACTTTCATGAGTAATACGGTTCCTAAAGCTGATCCCAAAACTAATTTTATCAGATTTGACCAGATGTAGATCTTTACAGCGGCAAAATTTTACTCTGTCAAAGGTAAAGAAAGGGAAAAAAGTTAAAAATATACCATGATGGAGAAAAAGCCGTGTTTTTCTGAGTAATGAAATTTAAGTTTTTACAGATATTTTCAGAATAAATTGTAAAGCTCATTTGAAAAAAGATGTAATATGGCATACAAGATAAATCCCCTGGGAAAAATGGCACATTAAACATATACATCTACTTTCACTGTCTCTTAAAACCCCACTAATACGACATAAAGGAATTTATTTTACTGATTATTAAAGGAAAACATAAAGAAAAAACAGAAGGGAAGCAGAGACAGGGCAACAAAACTTATCTGCTAGAAAATAAGACAGACAAGTGGCAAATTATAGCACTCTCCAGAAAGCTGAATTGTAAAATAGAAATAGAAAAAGCTAGAAACCAACCTCTACCATAGAGTACTCAGGTACTGTTCGGAACTGGCAAAAGGAAAAGGCTTAAACAAACAAAAAGACTGATGACAGGTTTAGAGCTCAGATCTCCAGGTATCTCCTCTCTGCCTGTGGCAGATGAGTGAAACATGAATCTCTGAAAACGTTAAAACAGAAGCTCTTTGAACCAGAGACAGCAGATAAGTTGAGGATAAGAATAAAATACTAAAAAAGAATAGAAGGGGTAATCTGGAATGAATGCATATGGATACAGACCTCTCTGCCACAATTCCCACCCCAGCGCTGTTCCTTGACTGACTAGGAACCAAACTATTCCCTGCTCCAGGCAAAAGACTGAAGATTCTTTGAGGAAATTGCCCAGCCCAAGACCTAAAAATACTGTCAACAGGATTTACCCCCAACAATGTACTCCAGACAGATCGTCCTACAGTGGCGCTCACCAGAATAGCCTCTCTCACCTGCATTGGAGTCTCCTACTCATTTACAAGCAGATGACCAACAACCAGGTATCTCTAGACACCAAGAAGAAGCAATTGACTAAGCTGGATTCAATAGAGAGTATCTATATAGGTAAAAGTAAGTTTAAAAAAACAAAAAACCTACTATTTTCTTTATCAGTGAAAACAATATTATATTTATAAAACAAGATCTTTAAAAAGTTTCAGAGAACCAGAAAGAACTCACGGCAATTAAAAATACGTTCGCAGAAAGGAAAATCTCAAAGGAAAGGTAGTAATCATAAGGTTGAGGAAATCTATCAGAAAGTAAAACAAAAACACAAAAGGATTGAGGGAAAAAAAATTTTTAATTGGGGATCCAGTCCAGAAGGTCCAACATCCAATAACTAAGAACCCTAAAAGAGAAAACAGTGATGACAGAAGATACAGAATGAAGTATTTCGAATAATGAATTGTTAGGAGACATTATATATACTTGCAAAAAAAACAGGGAGTAAGACATAAACACCTAAATGACTTCGGCAATAAATTCAGTCAAAATATAAACTTCAGTGAAGCAATTTATATATGACATTAGTCACAGAGGACAGCTTGGAGTTAATTACCCAGATATAATAAAATTGACTAATATTTTAAATACTAAATTTGAACACCTTACACACAAAAAAATTAAGCTAAAAAAAAGTGAATGCTTAACAAATATGAGAGGACAAATACAAACTGATCCTTCAAATTACCTTGCTTCAAGAACTGGCTGAATATCAGTTACTAGTTGACTGGTATGACCAAATTCATCCTGAAATTCCAGAGGGATATTGAATGGAAGGCCAACATGAAAAGGAGGATCCAGAAGACCAAATGAAAATTTCTCTGGCTTACCCTCTTTAACAAAAACAAAAATGAAATAAAAACCACAAACCACATTGGTCAGAAAATTCACTGAGGGTCAAAAACAGGTCCATTTCTAGAAATCAGACTATGTCAAAGATGGCATTTTAAAATCAGTGCAAAAATTATATGTTATGCAGACAATCCACTTGGGAAAAACCTCCCAAGTAGCTGGGACTCAGGTATGTACCACTATACCTGGCTAATTTTTGTATTTTTTTTTTTTTTTTTTGGTAGGGGCAGAGTCTTGTCATGTTGCACACACTGGTCTTGAACTCCTGAGCTATCCACCTGCCTCAGCCTCCCCAGGTGTGAGCCATCATGTCCAGCAATTGTACCTTTTCATAGGAAAGAACTTTTAAGGCAAAACACGATATTCAATAGTTATAAAATGATATATATGATGAAGTTAAATAGAAGCTCCACATGAGAAAATATCTGCAACATAAGTAACAAGAAAAATTCAGACTACATGAAACCCTCCTATAAATCAGCTGTTCTCAAAGTGTGGTCTCTAGTCTTGAAGTTTCAGCATCCCCTGAGAACTTATTAGAAATGTAAATTCTAGGGTCCATCTCAAACCTGCTGAATCAGAAACTCAGGGTGAAATTCAGCAAGCTGTGCTTTTAATAAGCCCTTCAGGTGATTCTGATACAAACTCAAATTTGAGAACTACAGCTTTAAACTATTAAAATGGGTACAGTAAATGAAGACGCATTTATAGATGGCACACAATGTCCAATAATGGTTAGAAGAGGTACACAATCTAAATATTAGAGAAGCAGTTTCACCACCAACTATGCTAAATATATAGTTCAGCCAGGAATGAGCATGCAGGCAACTGGAACTCTCACAGTGAGAAGTGAAGGTACTACGGCACAGCCTTTTGGGACTTTCATTTCTTGGTATCACCCTGAAGAGATTCTATTAGCACATGTACACAAAGTGGCATAATTTTTCTTTCTTTCCAAGTAACACTATGGTTTATAATAGCCAAAAAATTGGAAACAACACGATTCATCAACAGGAAACTGTTTAAACTATAGTGTACCTATTTTATGAAAATATGTTCCACAGGTGTTAAAAGAACATAGATTTATGTGTAAAAAAAACTCCTAAAAATTTTAAAAAAAGAAAGAAAGAAAACCGCTCCCAGGTTTTCTTCTAGATAATCACAGCTACTCAGATCAGTTATCTCCAAAAACCCTGTATCAGTGACTCTGCAAAAGCAGTAAACAAGAAAAACGACAAGAGTAACATAATTGGAAAGTCAAAGAACATATGAATAAGTGTAACTGACTTAGCAGAAAGACCCAAGAATAACAAATATTCAAACAACAAAGTAAGCAGAGACTGAATCTGATTCACAGTTATCGGACACCCTGCTAAAAGTCTCAGAAATGGCTGTATAAAGTTATAGTGAAACTGAAATAAAACAATAAGATTGGGTGAAGTCAGTTTAAGAAACAGTTTCACAGATCCTCCTCCTTCGATGCATGGGCTAGTCAACAACCCTCCGCATCTCCAGCAAAAGATGGAAGATTATTCTTCAGGGAAAGAAGAAAAGGTCCGGAAGTGAGAGACACAGCACTACTAAAAGCATCACTGCCCAAGCATAGTGGCTCAAACTTGTAATCTCAGCACTTTGGGAGGCCAAGAAAGCAGGATCACTTGAGCCAAGGAGTTCAACACCAGCATATGTAACATAGTGAGAACCCCATCTGCATTTTAAAATATAATTGATTAAATTTAAAAGTGTCATTTAAAAGAGGAAAGTGTTTGCTTATATAAATCTAATGGTATCTACAAAAAAAAGAAGAAAGTGTTTATTGAAAATAGGAAAATCAAGTGGAAAATTACATACTAAATGTGAAGACCCCCACAAACACATATAAATGGTCTTTCCCAGCATGGTTCCCAATATGCTGGCAGCTAGGTCTTTACCCTTTTAGCAGGTAACTGGAAAGCTCCACTCTGGAGAATCTGAACAGCCAAAGAGACAAGACCTTAAAATTCTCCTATCATAATTTCACCCAAGGAAATGTAAGTTTTTAAGTGTCTTATTCTTAAATGTAAGCAAATCACTAGTTCTATAAGAGAATATCTAATGAAGACAAGGAGAAAAAAAGCAACATAAAAGAAACAAACCATGAACAAGAAAAAAATGCTGTTAGAAAAACCCCTACTATTATTAATATCCTCAGAGAATGAAGATACTGAATTCACGAAGTAGGAAGTGAATGCTTAAGGAATTGTTTAGCAAGAGGATTTTAAGAGATTTTTAGAAATGAAAAATGGTAGCAGAAAGGAAAAAAATAGAAAGCATAGAAAATCAAGCTGTTAAGGAAATCTCCAATAAGGCAGCAAAACAAAAGCAAGAATGGAAAGCAGAAAAAACAAAAATAATATACCAGTCCTGAAATCCAACATCTTAACATTAGATGTTTTAGAAAGAACAGTCTGGGCACAGTGGCTCACACTGTAATCTCAGCACTTTGGGAGGCCGAGGCAGGCAGACTGCTCGATACCAAGTGTTTCAGACCAGAATGGGCAACATAACATAGCAAGACACCGTCTCTACAAAAAATGTTTTTTAAAAATTAGACAAGGCTAGGTGCGGTGGCTCATGCCTATAATCCCAGCATCTTGGGGAGGATGAGGTGGGCAGATCACCTGAAGCTTGGAGTTTGAGACCTGCCTGACCCACATGGAGAAACCCTGTCTCTACTAATAATTCAAAATTAGCAGGGCATGGTGCTGCTCGCCTATAATCCCAGTTACTTGGGAGGCTGAGGCAGGAGAATGGCTTGAACCTGGGAGGCAGTGGTTGTGGTGAGCCAAGATCATGCCATTGCACTACAGCCTGGGCAAGAGAGCAAAACTCAATTTTCAAAAAAAAAAAAAAAAAGGTGCAGTGAGCTGCAATCACGCAATGGCACTGCAGCCTGGGCAACAAGAGCAAAAACTCTGTCTCAAAAAAAAAAAAATAAAAGAGGCCAGGCGTGGTGGCCTGTAATCCCAGCACTTTGGGAGGCTGAGATGGGCAAATCACCAGGTCAGGGGTTCAAGACCAACCTGGCCAACATAGTGAAACCTTGTCTCTACCAAAAATACAAAGACATTAGCTGGGCATGGTGGCAGGCATCTGTAATCCCAGCTACTTGGTGAACTGAGGCAAGGAGAATCACTTGAACCTGGGAGCAGAGGTCGCAGCGAGCTGAGACCACACCACTGCACTTCAGCCCAGGCAACAGTGCAAGACTGTCGAAAAGAGAGGAGAGGAGAGTGTAAGATTCCTTGGAGGGGAGGGGAGAAAAAAGAAGAAAAGAGAAAAAAGAAAAGAAGGATGGAAAAAGAAAAGAATAGAAAATCAAAGTGAAAAAAAAAAATTCCTAGAAAATAAAACAGGAATTTCTAGACTGAAAGGGTGTATGAGGTATATAATTAGAAGTCATACACTTGAAAATTTCAGAAACTGGGATTTCCCTAAACACCTGGGGATTGGGGAACAAAGACTATTTTCGGGGAGGAGAGGTCATATGCAAAGGGTCAGGAATCAGGACAGCCTTAAACTTTACCAGCAACAATGGAAAGTAAAAAACAATGTCTTTAAAATTCAGAAGGAATATGATTATTGAGTAGACTTATAAAGCCATTTAAAAATCAAGATGGGCTGGGCACAGTGGCTCACGCCTGTAATCCCAGCACTTTGGGAGGCTGAGGCGGGTGGATCATCAGAAGTCATGATTTCAAGACCAGCTTGGCCAACATGGTGAAACCCTGTCTGTACTAAAAATACAAAAAGGAGCCAGGCATGGTGGCAGGTACCTGTAATCCCAGCTACTCAGGAGGCTGAGGCAGGAGAATCACTTGAACCCAGGTGGTGGAAGTTGCAGTGAGACGAGATCGTGCCACTGCACTCCAGCTTGGGTGACAGAATGAGACCCTACCTCAAAGTAAATAAATAAATAAAATAAAAATAAAAATTGAGATGGTAATCCAATTGTTCAAACATATTTTACTGGCTTACCTCTCTTTTCTCTTTTGATTTAAAATGCCACCTTTAGTGCGCGTGCACACACACACACACACACAATTTTGTTTTGCTTACCTTTAACAGAAAACTTAATTGCTTTGGATGGTAGTGGTCTTCCTGCGTAAGTGTCTGCATTACTTTCATTCAATACAACTTGTAATTTCAATGTATAATTCCTCAACTTCTGAATATTTTCTGGATAAATTAAAAATAAATTAAAAATCAGGTCAACACAATACCAGTGTATTCTTTAACATTCAGAATGAGAACTCACCCATTTTTTTAAACCAGTAAGGCCATTTTCCTCCATGTTGACTAATATGGGAAATAATCTCTTTATTTCCACTTGAAGCTTAATAAAAGAAAAAAGAAACAATAGTATCTTGAGAAATTGAACATAAAACATGAAATATGCAATGTCACATTGGCACCAAATATCTATTTGCTGTATTTTAAAATCTGCTTTGAAGCTTCAAAAGATCTAACACTATCCTATGAAACTGAACAGCAATCATGAAAAAATCTCTTTATTTCAAGTCTTTATTTGTAAGCTCTTTTGCTTTATTTAAAATTAACTATTTAAAGAGAAAAGGAGAAAACAGAAGAATAACATGACTTCTCCAAAAAATTCCTTATTTATTGCCCACTCTGGAATTATATAACCTAAATATTCGAAAAACTAAAATTTTTAAAGAGGCAAGTCATGAACAAAACCAAAATGTTTATCAAGTAGATGACGACCACACAGACCAAAGAGAGAAAGAGAAAAGTAGTCAACCTTACCCACTGGGAAGTAGGACAATAGTATATTCACACTGTGAAATTTTATCTAAGAAGGAACACAGGAGGTAAACATAAAAGCATCAACAGGCCAGGCATGGTGGCTCATGCCCATAATTGCAGCACTTTGGAAGGATAAAGTAGGAGGGTTACTTGAGGCCAAGAATTTGAGACCAGCTTGGGCAAGATAGTGATGGCCTGTCTCTACAAATATTTAAAAATTAGCCAGGCATGGTGGGACATGCCTACAGTCCCAGCTACTTCAGGGGCTGAGGTGGGAGGATTGCTTGAGCCCAGGAGGTCGCGCCACAGTGAGCTATGAATACACCAGTGTACTCCAGCCTTGGCAACAGAGTAAGAGATTGTCTGCCCGCTCCTCCCAATAAAGCAAACTTTGGATACTTATAAACTACAGTGGGCAACAGCACTGCCTGTCCCATGAAAAACTGGGAGTGAATCCTGAATGTATGAGAAAGGGAGAGAGCAACTGAAGCTAGTTGAGAGCTCCTTGACCTTACCAAACACTGGATCTGACTTGGAGAGCACTGGGGAGAGTGGGAAAAGAAGAGGGAAGTGCTCCACCCATGCTCCCAGACCCGGTGGGTGCAAACAGAAGGAAACCATCCCCGATCCTAAGTCACACAAACCTGCCAGCCAGCATAGGTGGCAGTCACTGGTATGGAGAGTCTCCAGACTAAGATTTGTAATCTAATAATGAGTAGGAGAGCAGCCTCCACAACCAGAATTGAAAGGCAAGTGTAACATGGGCCCCAGCAATGGGTATGAGAATTGGGTACCCCTTCTTTGCAGAGCCAGACTGGGAGGGCTGTGGCCTGGAACCTGGTTTTTGCTGGGAGGGAGTTTTGCTGCCTGAGACAGATTCACAATCTGAGGACAGACTACCTATGACTTGGCTAGCTGTTTCAGCTTGCTGCCATAGCAGGCAGTAGGAGGGAGCCCAACCAGGTCAAAACCATCACCTACCAGGTTTGTGGAGCCCTAGCAACCCCTTTCCCCACGAGAGATCTTTGGCATGGCAGTGGTTGCTCTGCTCCTCCCTGAACCATTGCTTAAGGGGCTTGGATACTGCCCTGCAAAGCCTGCCAGGGCTGGTGCTTGTGCCCCTGTTGGGGTGGCCAGAACGCAGGACTCTCTGGCTCAGCCCTGTCTAGCTTTGCTCTCTCTACCTGCTTCAGGGCAAAGCACAAGACTGGGACCCCTGGGAGTTACACAGTCCAGCCCAGTGTCTAGGACATCAGAGTACTTCTGGTTACAAAAGGTAAACCATAAACACTACTGCAACAGCTGCATCCAGCTTTTACCTTCTAGCACCACATAGTGGACAGGAGGCCAGCCTGCAGAGTCCATACAACATCTGCTAAAACAACTGTGCAGTGCTCAGGAAGTCTCCTTCCTGATGCAAGCTCTGCACCATCTCTACTACCCCAACTGCCCACACCACTGCAGCTACACAGGAGGCCCTGAGACTGCTCACCCACCTGATGCATCACAACAGCCAGCACTGTAGAAAACCACCACACTAATGCTATTTATAAACAAGGAAATCATACATAAGCTATGTCACCGAACACACCCAAGAAACAAAGCCAAAAGAATCTATTAAACATACATGATAGACACATCGTCAAGGAAAAAATAAGTCCTGCCCCAACAAAAGTAAATTTAAAAATAAAAATAAGTATTACTCCAGATGCAAAGGAAATCAGCACAATACAGAAAATATAAAAATATAAGGTGCTATGACAGTTCCAAAACAACACAGTAATTCTCTAATAATGGATCCTAACCAAAAAGAAATCTTTGAAATATCAAATAAAAAATTCAAAATACTGATTATTTTATCTTCTTGAGATGTGGTCTTGCTCTGTTGCCCAGGGTGAATTTCAGTGGCACAATCATAGCTCACTGCAGTCTCATGGGCTCAAGCGATCCTTCCACCTTAGCTTCCTGAGGGGCTGGAACTATAGGTGTGCATTATCATGCCCAGCTAATTAAAACAAATTTTTTTTAGAGAGAGTATCTCACTATGTTGCCCAGGATGGTCTTGGACTCCTGGTATCAAGCTATCTTCTCACTTCAGCCTCCTAAATTCCTGGAATTACAGGCATCAGCCACCATGCCCAGCCAAAATACTAATAAGGAAATAAAATTCAGGATATGAATGAGAAATTTACCAAAGGCATAGTTTTTGCTTTTGTTTTTTTAAAAGAACTTCTGGAATAAAAAATGTATGGAAGGAATTACAAAATACAGTTGAACACAAACAATGGACTAGACCAAGCAGAAGAATCTCAAAATTTGAAGATAAACTTGCTGAATTAATCAATCAGACAAAATAAATCTTAAAAAATTGTAAAAAAATGATCAAAGCCCTCTGCAACTATGGGTCAACTAAAACAAGCAAACCAACAAATCCCAGGTATTCTCGGGGGAAAAGAAAAGGCGAAAACCTATTTGAGGAAATAATGAGGAAAACTTCCCTAGTCTAGAACGAGATCTACACATCCAAAGAATAAAAGGCTCAAAGAATGCCAGGCAAAAACAGTGCAAGAAAGGCCTCACTTCAATATTTAGAAATTAGACTGTCTAAGGTCAATGTGAAGGAATATATCCTAAAATCAGCAAGAGAAAAAGCATCTGGTAACTAGTAAAGGAAAATCCATTAGACTAACAGTGGATTTCCCAGCAGGTACCTATTTATAAGCTAGAAGAGACTGGGATTTTATTTTTTCTTTTTTTGCAATCCTACTCTGCCTGTTTTCAAAGTGGATTCTGTTTCCAAAGTGCTGGGGCATGGAAGGAATGACTGTCAACCACAAATTTTATGTCCTGCTAGAAAAAGCTTCATAAACGGAGGTGAAATAAAGTGTTTTCCTGGACAAGCAAGCACTGAGGAAATTCACCACCACAAAATCAGATCTACAAGAAATACTCAAAGGAGTTCTGAACATGGAAACAAATGGTCAATACTAGTCATCATAAAAAGCATGAGAGTATAAAACTCACAGGTCTTATAAAATCATTATACAACAGAGAAAGAGAAAAAAAATTAAAAAACAGCACAGCAGAATCCTAATAAAACCACAGAGAAAGGAGGAAAAAAAGAGTATCTACAAAGCAACTAGATAACAACATTGTGACAGGATCAAAATCTCACACATAAATATTAAACTTGAATGTAAATAAATGCTCTACCTAAAAGACAGATCGGCAGAATGGATTTTTTAAATGAACCAACTATATGCTGCTTACAATAAACTCATATTACTCATAAAGACAATTACAGGTGTGGAAACAGTTATTCCATGCAAACAGAAACCAAAAGTGAGCAAGAGTTGCTTATATCAAATAGAATAGACTATAAATCAACAACATTTAAAAAAATATATATAATGTTAAAGGGATCAATTGAACAAGAAGATATAACAATTCTAAATATATATGTACCAAACACCAGTGCCCAGATTCATAAAACAAATATTACTAGACTTAAGAAGACATAGGAAAGCAATACAATTAATAATGATGAATTCAACACCCTACTAATAGCACTAGATGGTTCATGGAGATAAAAAACTAACAAAGAAACATTGGATTTGAACTGGACTTTAGACCAAATGGACCTAGCAGACATTTACAGAACATTTTACCCAGCAATATGCAGAATATACATTATTTTGCTAAATATATATTCTTCTCATCAGCAAATGGAACATTCTCCAAGATGGGCTATATATTAGGTCACAAAACAAATCTCTATAAATTTTGAAAAATCAAAATTATATCAAGTAACTTCTTGGACCATAGTGGAATAAAACTAGAAATCAATTCCAAGAGAAACTCTCAAAACTATAAAATACTTCGATCAAACAGCTTGCTCTTGAATAACCTTTATGTCAATGATAAAATTAATATGAACAATTTAAAAATATATCTATTTTTTTAAGATGGAGTCCCACTCTGTTGCCCAGGCTGAAGTGCAGTGGTACAATCTCAGCTTACTGCAGCCTCTGCCTCCTGGGTTCAAGTGATTCTCCCGTCTCAGCCTCCCAAGTAGCTGAAATTACAGATGCACACCAGCACACCTGGTTAAATTTTGTACTTTTTAATAGAGATGGGGTTTCATTATGTTGGCCATGCCAGTTTATGATGTATCATAAAGAAAGCATGCCTATATCTGCCTTTTACTCCTGGATTTCTCAACTTTTACCAACAGAGAAAGAAACATGTTCTAAAAACATCTTCTCAGTATTTGCTTTAAAAAGGGTGCAATTATAAATCAGACAGTAAATCACCACGACAAATTCTCTAAAAAGACCCAAGCAACTTTCTGATTTTTGATGTATTTCTTCAACAAATATTTATTAATTATCTCCTAAATAAAAAGTACTAGAAAAAAGTTAAACACACACACACACACACACACACACACACACACATCATTGCTTTCCTGGAGTTTTTCATCTTGCAGAGCAAGGGAACTGGCAAACTACCGGACTGCCAATGGCTGCATTCATCTATGACAGCAAATTTACATAACTGAAACAAACAACTTAGCCCTCAAAGCCTAAGTATTTCCTACCTGATCCTTTACAGTTTGCCATCCCTGTCCTAGAGGGGAGAGACACATTTAAGAAACAACAAAATTTGGTCTAGAAGTGGGAAAACTGGGGTTCTATGAGAACAACAACAACAAAACATTGTGGTTAGAGGTATGGTGAGTGAGGATGAGATCAAGCTGGAGAGAGAGGAAGGGCCAGATCATGAGTAGAGTATTGCAGAGCTATGACTAGCTTCCTAGGCCACTACAAGTGAAATAATATAAAACAGGTGAGTGATGTAGACAGATCTGCAATTCAAAAAAACCACTTTGGGGTAAAATGAGGAAAATGAGCTGGAGCAGTGCAAGAGTGAAAGAGGACTTTTCAGTGAGGCAGCTACTACATGGTTAAAATGAGAGACCACGATGACTTGGACTTGAATGGGCAGAGCAAAGATATACAGTTATCCCTTGGTACATGCAGGAGATTGGTTCCGGGATCCCCATGTATGCCAAAATCTGCACATACAAGTCCTGAGGTTGGCCCTGCAGAGCCTGCATATGAAAAGTTGGCCTCTGTTTATGTGGGTTTCAAATCCTGCAAAGACATATTTTCAATCTGCATTTTATTCACAAATGTCCACATGCAACTGGATCTGCACAGTTCAAACCCATATTGTTCAATGGTCAACTGTACTTTAGTGTGATATTTAGTAATAAATTGGTTACAGGCGATTAAAAAGTAAATGGAAACACCAAACCTTCTCAAACTGTTCCAAAAAATTAAAGAGAACACTTCCTAACTCATTCACTCTTTGAGGTCAACATTATCTGATACCAAAACCAGATAAAGACATCCAAAAAAAAAAAAAAAAAAAAGAAAGAAAGAAAGAAAAAAGAAAAAAAGAAAGAAAACTACAGACCAAAATGCCTTATTAATATTGATGCAAAAAGTCTTAACAATATGCCAGCAAACCAAATTCTGCACAATTTTTAAAAGAACTCACCTTAATTTATTTAGCATTGCTGTAAAGGAATACCTAAGACTAGGTAATTTATAAGA